ATTAGAATCACTTGTCCGCGAATTAAGGATTTTTTTTTCAATAAACCATTTCACTGAGTTTTCGATGAGACTTCTCCATCTTAATCTAAAATATTAGTTTTAGATATTTATGTTTACTATTTCTTAAGTTAAAACAGGAATATCAAGACACTATTAAAACTTTATTTTACATTCTCAATTTCGTGCAACTCTAACCTAAGCCTTTCCACATCCCGGCAAAAATTAAATTGAATGAACAAATAAATATAAACAAGTCGTTGCTCAAGATTACTAATTTTTAATTAAACAGTAAGATGCGGAAAAAAACTGACCTTAAAGAAAATTTGCTTTAATTTTTAAACAAGGAGGGTTCCCAGGGGAGTGATATTTTTATATTGTGTTCATCAACATTAATCTTCTTAACTGGCAGTCTGTGTACGACAAAACGCAAACAGTTTTTAAGCGTGGGCATATTGATTCCTTGTTATATTTGAGTGAGTCAGTGTTTACAGACCTTAAAACATTTAGATAATTAACGATTGCAAACTGAGAAGGTGAGAAATGCAGCCTTCTTGATGTGTAAGTAAATGTCGGGTGCAGTTTATCATAGGGCCAGGTGTGTCTCTGAAAGCGCATATGACTAGTTCAGTCCTAGTTTTCAAAGATTGTACAACGATCCGGCAGCAACCTTTACAACTCCGTCGAGGTCATTTGCTAGGCCGATGAAATCAATTAACACCACTGCTCTTAATAGAGTAACATAATAAACTTGGACTCATTCAACTGAATCACTTTTGTTTAGAGATAAGTGAATTGGAAAAGCAAATTTATCTTGTTGCAATTACAATTGTTTCCATAAGTAGTAAAAACAAAGTGCAAAATAAAACATGACTACGAGAGATTTTGGAAGTCTTTTTGTAATAATAGTAGCCACACAAGTGGAGAAAATCAAGAGAGAATTTTTTCTCTTGAGAAAATAATGTAATTTCTATTTCTCTTATAAGAAACCAGTGCGAAAAAATTAAACAGAATGGTAGAATTTTGCACATCGGTCAGGGCTTTTTACCTATTTATTGACATTATTAATACCGGTGCTAAGCTACTTGAGTCTTTTTTTCTTTATTATTTCCCGAGATAACGGTCGACTTCGTTGCCAGGGCGAATTTCCCGTTTTCCAATATGACGCCATGTTGGAAAATGAGAAGACCCTGGGGACGAGGTTGGGACACAACTATGAGAAACCAATATTCAAACTTTAGTTGTGTGAAGCTACTGTAGCTCCCAGAGTTTTAGAGACTACCTTGGACTGTCTTTTTGGATTTACATAACAAAAAGAACAAAAGCTCAGTTTTATTTATTGTGTATTTTATAGACTAGAGTTACATAGATAGCGGTTTAGAAGCAATTTTGTGCTGAGCTGTTGAGGTCCATAAAAAGGCAAATAAACAAATAAATAAATAAAGAGAGACTGGATGTAGTCTATATCCTGTTCCATTCACGATAAACCTAAAAACAACCACAAGCAATTTCTCACCTCGTGGTTCTCAGATGTGATACAAATTATTGGAAGTCTCTCCTAGCTGTAACCTTGGCCTTACGCCAATGAACAATTTTCCTCTTTTCGCTTCTTTGCCATTTAAAAATAGTATTCTAGCCTAAATAAAACAAATAATAATGAGATAACGCAAATTCGTCGTTTGATAATGGAAAATAGCCCAGTCTTTTCATGTGTCCCGAAATCTGCCATTTTTTGAACGAATTGACAAAGCCGCTATGTCAATTCGTCATAGTATGACTACGATGCAACCTTGATTTTGCAAAAAGCTCTTTCGATTTATTGAAGCTCTTTTGATTTATTATCCCAATGAAAACGTTATATCTTCGATTTCATTGGCAAAAAAAAAAAGATAACTCAGAAAGACTTGGAACAACCCCTATGCCTATCTTCGTCACTTTATTACATCATACATTTAGTGGATATTTAAAGGTGAGTTTAAAATAATTGTTTTACCACATTAACAGTAACAATCGTATATTTTCTTTTTTAAATTCTCACCTTTGAAGCATTTGCTGACAAGTGACTCTTAAAGACCTCGACATGTTTTTCTTGCAATTTACATGCCAATTTGTAGCGTTAGGAACTTTCTGGTGTTTTGTTTATGACGATTTTATTTCTTGAAAACCCCCCGTTGGTACCTTAACAACCACGGTCATGAGGAAAAAGTCGACATTAAAAAATAGCGAGACAGCTATTCAAGATATGGATTCCAACAGGCAAAATTCAAAATAGCTGTTATTTGATTGGAAAAATACAAACTGAACAAACATCAGTAATGTTTTGAACCCCCAACAGGGTTCGGTTTTTCAGGCTCCAGGTATAAAAAAGGATAGGATGGATTTCTCGACAGTTTACGTATGACAGTCTTCGTACTTTAGTAATAGTTGTATCTAAGTTTCATAGGGCCATAAGGGAGACCACAGTCTGACTGTTATGTATGCACCGTATTGAAAAGTGTCACCCATTCATTCATACGTATTTGAAAGGGTAGCCGGCAAATTTGTCATTTTAGATACTTACTAGAAATACGTGTATCGTAGAACCTCACCGCGAAGCTCAGGTTAAGGACCGGGAGTAGGAATAAAAGGGAAAGAAGCCAAGATTTTAAGGACTTCGCCCAACCTGAATTGAATAGTCCAGTTTCGAATTAAAAATTACCACTGAATATAAACATTAACGACACATTCATGCAGGGTTAGCCTCGACGTAAAGTAAAATATTCAGAAATTCTGGCAAGTAAGTGTTTGAAATTTGAGTATACACAATAGACAGAGTAATGAACAGGTCCTTTTCTCGTTGGGATTTGTGAATATATTACTTCAGATTGAGGCTAAGGCTGTAAAAAATGCGTCTTCACTTCTTTAAGTCAGCGGTATAGCGAACTCGAAAATGGACTATGGGAATATTAAAATAATACTGTTTTTCGGTTAACATCTCTCCCGGTAATGCTATTCTGAGTAGTCCTGATCTATTTTAATTTATTCTGTTTCTTTGTAAACGTTTTTTAAGAGAGCAAATGGAAAATGGTTGGTTGTTGTTGTTTGTTGCTTGATGTTCGCTCATAAAAACGTTCATTAACTTCCTTCCAAATGTTTGGAAAGGTGAGGTACACTGTAAATTAAAAAGATCTGTTTCAGCCCCAAAGTGTCAATTCGGCCCTGCAGGCCAAAGTCTGATTCAGACCTTCTTGGAGCCATTTGAGCACAATTTAGGCCCTGGGACCAAATCAGCCCTAGCTAATTGGATTGTATTGGCCCTGATTTAAGGGAGCCAAATTAGACCCAAAAATAGGACTGTATTTTACTCACCGAAACGGCCCTGTTTTTAGGGCTAAAACAGATCTTTCTGATTTAGAGTGTAGAGTCCTGATGGTAAGGGATCTAAAAGGTGTATCATTTTGCAGTAGAAGGTACACGAAAAAGGTACGTTTTCTATCAAAAACAGTGCAAAAAGGGTCAGGGGTTGCTACTCGGGTGGGGCTCCTAAAAAAAACGTTTCTGACTACCCCCGGATCAACAATTTACTCTGGGAGTGAAGCAGTTAAATCACGGCAATCTCTGTCCTTTTCCAATAACCTTTCTATGGACTCTCTATGGAATAGTAAGAGTCCTTTTTTGAAATATTCCTTTTATATATCAATGCATTCTCAGTTCAGCCTAAACTTGAAAAAGAATATTAATCTAGGTCATAATAATATATTTAATCTTTGTCCCAAGATCATCAGCCAGTAATTCAATTGTTAGGTCGTAACCCGACCAGAATGCTTCACGGCCGGGTATATTCCACGCTGCCTAGCTTCACCGCATCAAGTCATCATTGAGATTTATAACAAAGTGAGTGTGCACATACTCTTTTGAATTTAAACACCTCAACCCGTATTTGCTCTTGCCTCAAAAGATACAACCTGTGGCGCGACATTGCGCGCGCGAGGGCTGTTACAAAAGCGTGCTTTTGGTTATTCCGTCGCAAAAAGAACTTGGTTTGTGCTAAAAAAAAAACCGGCCAGCTCTCAAAATAAGCTGAAGAAACTGCTGACATTTCGCGAACACTGGTTTCCCGGCGAAATACCGTCTAAGGAACGAGGGCGGAAAATCCATACTGATTACGTGTCACCAGCCAGATTTGGGTAGTTACACGTCATCAGTATAGAATTTCTGCGGCTCGTTCCTCAGACGTTATTTCGTGGGGAAACCGCCGCGAAACGTTGGGCGTTTACTTAGGCTATCCTTAGAATAGGTGGTGGGCAATCCTTTATAAATAATCGTTTGAAACTACACATGCCTCCTAAAAAGAAGATTGTCCAACAATTTCAACACACCCGATGGGACATGTTACAGTCACATAATGTGTGCCCCTAAATCACGTTCGCCCCATCTAACAGTAAGGCGCAATTTTTGGTTTTTCAATCTTACATAACTGTTAACCTTTTCTGATTCTGCAAAGGCAGATGGTAACAAGACAGACACGAGAGAAAGAAGTACGCGTCATTGGTCATTGAAGAGAAAGTGAAGGGGGTCAAATCTTTTTGCTGGACCAGAAAGAAACAACTTCCTGAAAGAGAAAAGACCGACAAGCGCTAAAAATTTGCCGAAAGAAATTTTCCTCGTCACCTGCTCAGTTTAAAGTAATTTACCCCCTATGTTGTCAGCACTTTACAAATTCTAAAACATATGTTTGTTGTGTAGCGATACTCATAGAAGGGGCAAAATCGACCTGGCGCTTGTTTGAGACTGAAATTCTTACATCGATAGGATCGTATAGCATTTTTTAACTGGCTGATTTTTTTTTTAACGAAAAGCGCGTTGCACTAAATTCCAGGGATATTAAAAAATGTAATTGTTTTTGGGTACCCTCCTGTGATCTGCTCGCCTCTACACGCAAAGCAGTATTTCCCACGCCAACGGCGACTGGCGATCACAGATTGAGCAACACGTCGTCGTCTCCGTGAGAAGTAACTTGCCACAAAAAAGTTCAACAGTCCTTTCTGAACCAAAGTTTGGACCCCCCAATAACAAATTCCTGGATCCGCCCCTCTCTTTGGATTTGAAATGATCATTAATGCTATCTAAGACTGCTGTTTTTTAATTTGAACATTTGATGAAACAAATAAAAAAACACTACACATAGTCACTGACAATTTTAAAGTTCCATTGCACTTATCCCCATTATTTTTCTTTTGCTTTTTGTGCATCTGCAATCTCCACAGCTCGCTTCGTTGCAGCATCCACAGCATCAATAAGCGCACTTCTTAACCCTGATCTCTCCAGCACCTGTATTCCCGCGATTGTTGTGCCTCCTGGAGAACAGACTTCATCTTTTAACTGCAATACCGAGAACAAAAATACAGGAAAGAAAGAACTTTATCTTTTAACTGCAATAACCCGAGCAAAACACAGGAAAGAAGGAAGGAGAGAAACAGCAAACAAAGAAAAAAAAAACAAACTGAACAAAAAAGCGAATCGCGTAAAAAAAAAAAACGCTACTTACAAATTCTTCCAAAAACAGATCTACGATTTTTCCGAGTGCTTAAGTTCAACTTCAGTCTACTGGAAGATAAGCATCCTGCCTACCCAGGACGTTTCAAAGCAAGTATAAATGGACTGTATTTTAAGCACTCTTTAACGTTTTAATTTTTAACTGTTGTACTTCTTTTATTTCTTGTTAAAACTGGAATGCTTTTACCTGTGTGATAATAAGGAGCTTAAAAAACGACGACGACGACGACGGGTACAAGAACGTCACTTAAAAAGTGAATTCGCTCGGGCTCGAACTTTTTGGTCAAATGTTTGCAATTTTTTGAACTTGAATTCTAAAGGACTGTGCCAAAGTTCAGGAAAAGAAAAAGAAAGTTGTTGTCTTGTGTTCCAGTCCTCGACAAAACGTGAAATTAGGCACTTTCCAGTTGTAGTCGTGCAACGACGGCTAGCAAAGGTACAAAAAAGCGTGATGCACGTGTAAAGCTGTTGTTTTGCCAATCTAAACCTATTACTTTTTTGCAGTTCTCCTTGTCGTCGCCGTCGCCCTCGTCTTTGCTTAAGTTCCCTATTAAAGTTTTTAAAACTTTAAAGTTTTATAGAAAAGGGGACAAAACGTGCGTGTTCTCCGGCCGTCTGGGCCTCTCTATCAAGCTAAGGCCAAGTCCACACGAAACCGGACATTTTTTAAGCTGCACATTTTTTTATCGGGATTCGTGTGGACGAGGCCTTAAACAGCACTGGAGAGCGGTTTCAAAACAATGCGGTTTTGGTAACCGGATTCACTGATTTCGTGCGGATGAAAGGCCGATTCGTGTAAAAAAAAGTATGCGGTTTCAAAAATAGCCGGATTCGTGTGGACGAAGCCTAAATTTGTTATGTAGAAATGGAGAGGGAGCTACTACGATGATCACACAAATGAGCTGGACTCATGATGGCGATGACAAGGAAAACGGCAAAAAGGCAATAGGTTAGATTAGCAAAACAACAACTTTGCACGTGCATCACGCTTTTTTGTACATTTCTTTGCCGTCACCAGGATTCAAACAATAAAGAAATGGCTTAAATTTGCAACGATGTGCAAGATTTTTGATGGAAAAAAGGCCAAAAGCAAAAGGGAGAGAGGCAGGAATTAGAGTGACATGTACCCTAGGCTGAGAAAAACTTACCCCTTTCCCCTTAGCATAACCTATACACCCCCTACACCAGGTTTGTCACTAAGATTTTATGTTGCTGGGTAAATACAACAAGTATACAGTCAAACCTCTTTAATACGGACACCAAAGGGACAGAGCCAAGTGTCCGCTTTACAGAGGTGTCCGTATTATAGAGGTAGGGAATATATGGTTTTCGGCATTTCTAGGTCCAAACGAACTGTCCATAATAGAAAGGTGTCCGTATTATAGAGGTGTCCGTAAGGAGAGGTTAGACTGTATAGGGAATCAAACCGCTAGAGATTTCTTTTGGTTCTATTTTTCTTCTACAGTCTAACCTCTCCTTACGGACACCTCTATAATATGGACACCTCTCTATTACGGACAGTTCGTTTGGTCCTAGCAATGCCGAAAACCATATATTCCCTACCTCTATAATACGGACACCTCTGTAAAGCGGACACTTGGTTTTGTCCCTTTGGTGTCCGTATTAAAGAGGTTTGACTGTATTTTCCAATAAAAGTAGCCGGGGGCCACACTCATAGTAGCCGGGGAAAATTCCCGGTCCACCGCTCTTCATGACAGCCTGCCCTCCACTGACCTTCCTCTCACAATATACATATTTAAACACACAAAGCAGCATTAACCATGCACTACATTCAAAACGATAACTGTAGTGGAGGTTAATGTGACTCTTTTTCTACAGGCAACATTTTGGTAGAAGCATCAAAATGATGTCATCATGCAAATGGCCTACATGTATTATAAGTCTTTATTATATAAACACCAATGAAATACCAGGTGAGCTTTCGTGTGAAAACTTGATATCTTCACATGTGAAAATAACATGTTATCTTCACAAGTGAAAATATCACTGTTGATATGGCTACATAATAAATCGCACCTTTCACACCAAAAAACTATTAAAGTGAAATGGTTTGGTACTTCATTTGTGTTTATATAATAAAAAAATAGAACATTACACGGCTGCTTGGAGATACGAAATTTCTCTTCTTGTGTTGAAAAAATATTTCACTCGTTTGCTGCACTCACTTGTGAAATATTTTTCAACACTCGAAGAGAAATTTCGTATCTCCACGCGGCCATGTAATGTACTCTATTATTTTGTAATTTAAACCAATGGAACTTTTTACTACCTGTGCAGGGTGTTTTCCTGTTTCTTGGACTAGCCGAGCTGCTCCGATCAGTGTTTGAGTTACTAATTCAGTTGACAGAGCCCTTGGTAAACCTGTCCTGACACCACCATCGCTCATTGCTTCCATGACAAGACCCACAAAGCCAAGCCCACATCCACTAACTGATAAGAGGGCATTCGAGTAAGATTCTTTTACCTCTGTGCACAGACCTAATTTAATAGGAGGCCAAAAAATATTTAGCAATTAATGAATGAGGCTGAGTAGGATATGAAGAATTGTGCAGACCGAGGAGGGTGTTATTGGCCTTGGTGGATAATACTCTCCAAGATCTGCATAATTCTTTATAGCCTACAAAAGCCGAATTCATTAATCGCTTTATTACTCTTTCAAAATAATTCCTAGCTTAAAAACAAGCTAAACCATGCTTACCTTCGTCGATGTTATCTTCATCTCGATAGTGCATGTTTAGCAGATAAAGGGCTGCTCAGGTCTGCAAATATACTCCAAATAGCAGATGTTGTCCGTTGAGTTGTCTTCCTGCTATGTTTTAAGACAGTAGCCCATCATGAAACGAGTAAAATGTTCCACCGACTGTTCGGCCATTTTTCTTTTCACAACCAAAACAACTCAACCTCGTCCCCAGGTCTTCTTGCTTAACAGTGCATTAACCTGCAACTGTGCTGCACTTTTGATCTCATCCGTTGATTAATCGCAAAATTCTTCCAAATTTGGTCAACAGTATAGCTGGTTATGGGGTGAATTATGCGTGTGCTTTTAGCCAATCAGAAACGGAGAAATATTTTGAATGAATAATGATGATCGAGTTTTAATTAATCTGACCACCATACTTTTACATCATTATAATAAGGGTTGAACAAAATTATGGAAGGACCTTTCTTTCTATGTTGTCTAGGGTTTGCTAGTTTATGCAATGTATTTTAATTTTATTAACTGGGTGTTTGAAAACGTTTGCTGTTGTTTGCTTCATTTGTATGGAGAAATTTCAGCACTTACACTCATCTGTTAACTGCAGGCCATGCAAAGAAAGTCAATGGTGTCCAATGGCCCAAAGATGGTGAATTTTGCCATTAGGCTAGTGAATTGTGTTCAGTGAAGTTTTTTGAATTAAAGAAGTACTGTAAGACAAATTGTTAAAATTCCTAATAAATTAATGTGGATTGAAAGCTTTTTTTCTGACAAAGTGAAATTATTGCAACCTTTACTATTACTATTAATTAATAATTGAAGAAAGTTAGCACTTAATCATTGGTGTAATTAATTAATCAATCATAACTATAACAAAATTCTCAAATCTGATTGGCTATCAAGTGTCTTAGGACAGTACACATCATGCCAAAGTAATTGGATAGTATGTACCATCCCACGTGCACACTTAAATGGCTTTTTTTCACTGCCAGCAAAAATAAAAAAAGCTCTTGCTTTCTTAGCGAAGAATTCTCCTTTTTGTCTTGCATAGGCCTCGTGAACAATACTACAAATACTACAAGGTATCACATCTATTTCTACAAACAAAATGGCCTTAACCCTTCATGGGAGCTCTTGTTTCGAACCATTCTAAATTGTCTTGGTTATGAATTAAAACTGGGATTTTCAGAAAATTCAATGCAAACTGGGGAGCGTTTATCTGGGAAAATGTTCTTTAGTCTTTATTTCCTTTGTCGAGATGTACAGAGAATAGCAATCGTGCTAACTCTCTAGAGGCTCTTTCAGGAAGTTTCTGGGCGGATAATCAGTAATCGTGCGTAATGCGTGTGTCTGCCTGTTTACGTGAGTATGCAAGAACTACTTAAGTTACTTTGGCTACCATGTATTACATATCTGGACTGTTAAGTAATTACTGTATAGTAGCAATGTAATTATGTATCTATATGCTTTATATGTATATCATGTAAATCAGTGATGCAAAAAAAAATTTAAAAAATAAAACTCTAGGAATTATTTTAATTTTAAAAATAACCTAAATATCACAAATTTTGTTATGATTAATTGGTAACAGGACTTAGTGTCGTCCAATTCAGTCTGTAATCATACTTGTGATTAAACAAAATAATTGCACTGGTACCATTACAGACCGAATTGGACTCCCCCCAGTCCTATTACCATTATTAAACAATAATTAGATTAATTATCATTAATCCTGCTCATTAACTTTTTTTAGGGGTGGGGCTAAGTTCTTCATGTGCCTTTCCCAATGTGTTTCTTGCTCTCCAGCAAGCTGCACAAGACCCATGTTCATATTTACTGACAGTTAACCTACCAGAGGTTCCAAGAAGCTTATGTATTAACTCAACATCTTTCTCCTGGACATGTTTCCCTCTACAATAGGCAAATATCCCGCATTGAACCTCACAAGCTAGATTTGGCAGACATCTTATGACTCGACTGCGTGGCAAGTGCTACAACAGTGTAAACCAAAACAAAAAGAATGCACAGCACATGTAAATACCCGTGCTCAAAGCCCGGTTATTAAATGTCACGAAAAGTCCAGAAAAATTAAGGATTTACAGGTGTAGCCATTTCCAGACTGTGTCAGTTCAGCAATTAAATGACTTAAATGACAGCAATTGGTTAATTGGCAGTTGTTCTAAGCCCGATTCTCATGTGCTGCTGGTACTGGTGGGAATACTACATGTGGGTTTATTTGCCGCAGGTAAAAAAGAGCCACCACAGGTCTTCATTACCAGCACACCTGCAAAGTTGAACTTGCATCACTATCACAGGCATGCAAGCACCTTCTGTTCAAAAAACTAGGAACACCATCAGGCATTACCAATCTATGTGTCAAGAGGAGGTCAGAAGGATATGAGAACCAGGTTTCCGCTAATCCCCTGATTGCTTAATCAGTCCAAGTTTCCCCCATCACAAATTAAAATTGCATCTGGAACAAGACTCTAAGTTTTTCCCAGCAGACCAGCAAAAGTCGGGATGGTTGGGTAAAGTAAAATCCATGATCATCGAGGATTTTTCAAACATATGAAAACCCACAGGCATCCCAAACTCACTAAATGAGTGCGTGTTAAAAAGTAAATAGTGGTATATTTGCATTTGTCTATTATTAAAACTAAATTGTAAAATAACTAGGATAGTATGCGCACTCTGATTGGCTGAGAGGTGTGTTTGCATGAGAGTATGTAAACATGGTTGTGACATCAAGATGTTTTGCTTTCGCGTGCTTATCATGCAAGCACAAATTCGAAAAAGGTTTTGAGTTCAAAAACCCGACAAGTTTACTTTATTTACCCATTTCCTCGTCAGCTGAAACTTGAAAACTCTTTAGAAACATGCTGTGTCAATTTTTTTTCGCTTGAGCTGACATTTTAACCGAGAAAAACCCAAATTTTGGAAAGCATCTTTTTTGCAAAACAAAGACTGATTATGCGTAGAAGCTTCGTGTACAAGACTTCGCAACTGGTAAGAATTTCTTGTTTAATCAATGCTCTAAACAAGAGAGTTTTGTGTTTTTTCTCGGGAAAGTTATTTTATAAAAGCAAAAGAAAGAGGGCTGTTTTATTATTATGCATAACTGTCTTGAATTCTCCCAACCCCTCTTCTGTTTATATCAGGCTATGCAAACACGGAAAATGTTTCCTGTTACTTAAATTTGACGTCGTCTTAGTTTACTGAGTGATCTGGCTTTCTGCTTCGAACCCATTGCCATCATAATCATAAATGTCATTGTCTGAATCATCACTCTTAAGATGAAACTTATCCCTTCGATGTTAATTTCATTATTTTCTGATCCACTAAGATCCAAAGAAATTCTGCATTTCTCGAAACTTCTTACGATGGCACTTCCTGCCACTCCCTACCCACCCACTTGGTCAGTAATAAAGTTATTGTTCCGCAATTTTTCCTAATGTTGTGTTTGAAGTAGTACAGGGTTCTGCGAGAGTACTTAATATTAAGAAAGCAAGGAAAACTAGAGGGAGGCTAATATCCAGGGGGAGGGGGGGCCTTACAACCAGATGCCTTTTTTTGTTTCCAAGTAGATAGGCCTATAACCAGGGGGGGTTATAAGTGGGGGGGGGCTTTTAACTGGAATTTTAAGGTACTTAAATTACTCACCGCTTCTATAACATCTGTGGTAATGGCAACCGCTATAGAAACAATAAGGTGTTTAGATGGGTCAACAGATGATTCAATCTCTTGAGCAACTTGTATAACTAAATTGGGCTTCACCGCTATGAAAATGACATCTGAATGTTCAACAACTTCCTTGTTGACTAATGTAGTTTGACAACCCATCTCCTGAAATATAAAGTAGAACAAAATGGCCCATTTTTGGGGTGGCAACTTTTCTCTCTACAATCCTAAATGCTGTTGGCTATAGTTCACTAATCACGAATTTGTTGATAATTACTATGGAAATTATGCCATGAATTACTGTTCCTTCTATCCTTCTGTTTCTCTGTGCCTCTGTTTTGTGTCCATGAGTCTCTTCTGCTCACAGGAGGTAAACACAAGCAATTTAAGTGTATATTGTACAGATTTTTTTGAACTGATTTTGGTTTTTAGATAAGTTAAATTTACAAGTCTGAATTTTAAAAATGTGTCTCCCTAAAAATGCTGTCCAAAGACTTCTTTTTCCAATTAAGAAATGTGCCAGAGACTGGGAACAAGTAAAGGATCAAAAACAGCCTGATGACAGATTCCCTATCGCGAAACTAGACTCTGACTAAAAGTATGGGGATAGGGAACCTGTCAGAGCATTTCACAAAAATGCTTACCTCATTTACCTTGGCTACTAGTCTGCAATTCTACAGTCCGCGTTTGTCGCACACCGCCGCAGCCCCTTCCAGCTCGTCACATGACCATCATGCCAAAATTATGGGATAAAACCCCCAAAATACCAGAGATTGAAAGGACATAAAGCAAATGGGCCAAATAAAGGTCTGCCAATTTAGATTTTAAACTCTTAACAATACAATTTCATGGTGGTTTGAATAGTGGAGAAGATACTATATGCATCAATGGGAAAGTCACTGGACCACATGCCTCGCAGTTCTGCAGTGTACATGTTTTTTTCTTTTTTTTTTTTTCCTCACAATCCTTATTATATTGCCGACACTCCAGCAGCCATAATATTTTAGTCTTTTGTCTCAGCTGCCTAAAAATTGACTTTCTGGCTAATGTTTTGCGGTGGGAAATGGTGGTTGGACAGCAATACTTTTCTCTTGGGTTTCCCACGTGCCAGAACAAAAGCGTACTTCCACGACCCCGATCGACACTAAGCCTTAATTAACATTACCTTCCAAAGCGACAAAGTTTTTTCCGTGGTAGCACTCACAATGATGTTCGCTGGATTAACGGTTTTTGACTTTATAAAGCCTTTGGCCATGGCTTTCGCCATATTCCCTCCTCCGAGAAAGCCAACCTTTGCCTTAACTTCGCTCGCCATCTTGATTCGTCCCTCTTCCAATCTCGTCCTAGCACAACCACAGGTAGCCCAACATCGAAATGTGTTGGTGCAGAAGGTACTTCAAATATGGAAATAATAATGAACCGATATCTTCCTGAGTGTTTTTAATTTGGTGACAGACGACTCCTGATAAATCGAGCCCTCGCTATCGCGAACCAAAATCGATTTTCCCTGGATTTCCTTCATATATTTGCAAGATGTGCTATGGTTTTCTGGATGGGAAATGGGAGGACGATCAGGGGCACCCAACGACGGTTTCCTTCAAAATACGTTGAAAACACTTTTTAGGCTATCCAGAGTACTTTTAGATCTCTCGAAATGCATTCTAAGCGGTGCTACAAAATTTTTATCTGTTCGGTCATCTTAGGAGAACTTAAGTCTTTTCGAAATTACAAGGGCTTCAGTATTATTTTTCCGAAAATTTAGGTGTAATTTAACATTTTACGAAGGTGAGAATTTTTCTGATTCCTCTCTCCAACACTTTTTACAATCCGAAAGTTTTAGGTCGCCTTTTTCTAAGAAAAATAGTGTAACGTTGGTAGTAAAATATGCAAAATTAAACTTCAGAAAATCGTAGGGAATTTATTTGATAAGCTTCGAAAATTGTACACGAATGGAACGTTCTTCTAGATATTATTAGCCGTCCTCAAGCAACAGAAAATTATAGGCAGCGTTTGCTTCTCCGAACAGATATTTTGAAGAAAACAGTCGTTGGGTGCCCCCGGACGAGTTTATTCCAAATAGAGAAAGGAGAAGACAAGGAAGCCCAGCCTGACTTCGAGTCGCTTTTACCCCCTCAGCAACTGTTACTGAGAGGGTAAAAACGACTCGAAGTAATCGTCTGAAATTTAGGCTAGAGGAAGCCTTGATATAAATTTAATGTGCAGAAATTTTCACATTTCTTTCTTTCCCACAATAACTGACTGGAACAAACTCCCGAAAGAAACTGTTACCAGTCAATCTCTCTCTATTTTTAGAAATAAACTCCTTTAGGTTATCTTTTACTAGTAGTTTATATATTAGTTTTTATTTGTAGTTTTAGCTTTTATTATCATCTTGTATATTTCTGGTGTTTTAGACTTCGAGTGATGCCCCTCGTGGATGTTGCCGACAAAACCATATTTAGATTTAGATTTAGAATTAGATTTGAATTTGCTGTAATTTAAGCGTCGGCAACTCGAGCCCTCGATAACTCAGGCAGGCCAAGTCACTCAAGAAAGCCAAGTAACTCAACTAAACCAAGATACCCATTAAGTAACATTGAAGTGAGCAAGACACTCCAGCGTATCAGTTAACTAAAGCAGGCCATGTCACTCAATGAAGTAAGCCCAGACACTCGAGTAAAAAAAACCAAGACACTCACGCATGTCAAGTAACACAAGTAAGTAGTGACACGTCATCAGTATGGAATTTCTTCGTTCGTTCCTCAGACGTCATCGATCATTTCGCTGGGAAACCAGTGGTGGTATCACCAAATGTCCTGCAAATGTCCGCTTTTTCTCCGGCTACTGAAGATTTCTCACACCTCAAAGCTAATGAAAGAATTTTCAATTTTAAACCGGCTTACCCTACCTCAGTTTATGTTTTTAAAATTGTTTCTTGTAGTCCCTGGGCTGACTTATGCCTCATTTATGACTATTTTACGGGTTTTAGCGGAACCGGTTTGCCATTTGTAGCTGTTTTGTCAGTGCAGGGCTGAAGAAAATGGCGGACGAAAAGACGAAATAGCCGAATTACTGCCTCAAAAGAATAACAAGAATAACATCAAAAATACGACTCTGAAGATGACAAGCCTCGGCAAACTGCTCGGGTCTGGCTAAGACATCTTGTTGACGTCAATGCTGGGGTTCCCTGGTCTTTTTTGAACGGTAGAACTTCTTTGGCTGCAGTCTGATCTTGCAGTATACTAAGAAATGGTCTGTGTCGCAGTCTGCGCTGTGATAAGAGCGTGCGTGAAGAACGTTCTTTATGGTAACTAGCCTAACCAGAATCAGGTCCAGTTGGTGCCAGTGCCTTGAACGCGGGTGTCTGCAGGAGACTTTGGGCTGAGGTTTTGTCTTGAAGAAGGGGTTAGTGATGCAAGGGGTGTGGAAGGCACACAGCTCAAGCGGTCGCTGACCATTTTAATTCATTTTCCTTACTCCAAAAGGACCAAGGCAGGAGGGCCATGAATAGTTGTCTGCACCCACTCTGGCATTAAAGTCACCCAGAAGAACAAATTGTTCCGAGCTGGGGATGGTCAAGATTGTTGATGAAAGATTCTCGTAGAACTCATCTTCTGCGTCAGGAGTGGCGGACAATATTGGGAGGTACACACTGACCAGGGAGAATGAGCCTTCGGGTGCGTTCAGGCGTCCATCCACCAACAAACAGCCTACAACCTGGAGAGGACACCCCAGCTTCGTCATTCCCATCGGCGTCGACACAACACGGGAAGTAGCAGTTGAGTAGGACTCCAGGGGTTGCTTCCGACAGTGGGGGCGGGGGGCTTATTCCATATATAAGCCATAAAGGCATGTGCAGCCCTATAGGGTATGGTTTTTGCGCCATTTCGGTCTAAAAACGGGTGAAGACTGCCCATTTTGGCTAGGGAACTGCGGAAGTGTATGGACGTATTTGTTATTTCAATTCTAAGTGAATAAGAAAGGAAGAGTAATATGCGAATTCAAAATGGATTTTAAGAAAACTTTTGGTTGGCGATCTAATCTAAGTAATGATGACAGAGGTCAGGTCTGAACGGGTTTGGATTTTAGAGGCAAGGTTGCGGGTGTGGAAGAACACATTTTTTGGTCTAAAATAAGGTCAGGATTTGAGGAACCGGGCGGTACACATCATCCACCAAGAATTCCCAGGGGTACCCACTAGGGAAATATTTTGAATGACTAGGCCTCGGCAGATAAAATCCCCTCCTTGATCTGGATAATTCTTCGTATCGTACTCAGCCAATAACTGCTAAACATCAAAACACTGCGTTCTTCTGGATAACAAGGACGCTTTTAATAGTGGACATAAATTATTAATTGCAACCATTTTCTTCACGGTACCTAAAATTCAATTTTCAAAAGTAGGTCTGGATATAGAGTTAGGCCTCGGCCAAACGACGATCGTCTGTTGGGTCAGACGACGAACTTAGGACGCGTCGCACCAATCAACTGAATCAGATTAGTAATAAATTTTATCCCGAACGAAACTAAAGATACATTATTTAAAAACAAATTTTTCATTTATTTGTTTAATCGTCGCATGTGAAGATCGACGTTTGTCGCGGAGACGATCTTCGGACGTTCTATCCTGCTGGCCCCGGTTGTTCAAACGTTGGATAGCGCTATCCAACGTTTGAACAACCGGGGCGTGAAGCAGACGGATAGAAGACGTGTTGGATGATCCAAACTCATTCAGACGAACTTAAATGAGCCAGACGTCGACCTTTCCATGAACTTAACTCACCAAGTTTGGTTTGTCTCATAAAACGTTCGACGTTTGGCCTAGGCCTTACTTTTTTTAAGACAACTTAACTCTTTCAATGTATATATTATGGTAACAAGGTGTATAAATTAAATGAGTTTATTGTGATATTTCAATTTTGTTTCTTACTCTGGTAACTATTTTCTACCTTTGACTAGCGCAAGACGCATCTAAAACGTAAGAAATAACATTAAATTTAACTTTAATCTTGGATCCGGGTTAGTTTACGCTGAAACCGGTTTACATGCTACAATTTCCTAGCTCTAATTGGAACAGACTTGCAAGCAAAACATGTTATGGCTAACAAAAATTCGGCTCGAAAGTCGACCGATTTCACCTAGAAAGATCGGACGACGAATCATAGCCTTTATTTGTTATAGCCTGCGAGCAAGCTCTCCTATTTGGGCGAGTGACACGAGGCTCGCGAGAACGCGCAAGCGAGCGGCGAAGCTGAGAGGGGGAGGGCAGGCGAGTTCTCGCGAGGCTCGCTTCGCTTGCCCAAATAGGAGAGCTTGCTCGCAGGCTAATCGTATCATGTCAACCGAACTTAAGTCTCGAAAGGCACTAATGAAACACAATGGAAAAAATAAAAATTCACTCTTAACTGGATTATTCACTTGCGAATAAATACTGCCACACTAGAGAATACGGTAACAGACGAAATAACTGTAATTAGTGATTATACGTTATTACTTTAGGGTACATTTTAGCCGTATGTAGTACATTAACTACCTCATATTCTTGAACAAGCGCCCGCCCTCTCTGAAAAACACGTCCCTTAAATGAGCCGCCCGTCCCACCCTTTGGCCAAAGTTTCACATGAATGCCCTGGCGCACAATTCAAAAAACAAGGTAGCCCAAGGCCCAAGCGGGGGGAAGGTGGGGGTGGAGGGTTAACATTTAACAAATTTCCTCCCTTAGCCGGGTGCTAGGAGCGGTTCTGTCGCAGAGCTAGGAACGTGTAATAAGATTCAAACGAGCATTAGTGGTAACCCTTTGCGGATCAACTCTTCTTACATTTTGATCTATGGTAATTGGCTAACTTCGTTCCAGCTTTGGTTCAAAGTCAAATGGTTGTACACTGGTGTGAAGCTCGCTCCTGCAGGCCCAGTCGTATTCCCAACGGAAACGACATCTTGATGAGAGCTGTTTAAATCCAAAGAGATGTCGCTAATTCCAGTTCTGGATCGCAGCCATCGATACTGTCTCTCATGACTGTAAGGGCCTGTTTACATGAAGGTGGGGGACCCCAGGTAGGTGAGGTAAGATGTGGCGGGTTACCCCACCTAACATATGACCGTGATCAAATTAAAATGAGGGTTTATATCGACAGGCGGGTTACCCCACCTAAACGGGTTACCTCACCTACCTGGGGTCCCCCACCCCCATGTAAACAGGAACTAAGCTCATATATCTAAACACCATGTGAAAGCCGCCTAAAACTAGGCGCTACGTCAAGCCATTTGTTTTTTCTTTAAAAGCTAAAACTTGTCTTAGCATCAATTGGATTCAAAAAAATAATAGCCCAGATTTGTTATTTAATGCTATATTTAGACATTGAAACTGTTTCCTGTCGTTTGTTGCTAAGGATGGCAGGGATACACATGGATTGAAACGAGAAAAAGTTGGGCAACTTTTTCAAGTTTTAATGCTATGCCTTCAAAAATCACCAAAACTATAATTATGGTTAGTAAGCCCTGAAGAATTTATTTGCTATCTTCTTCACACCTCTACAGGAGCAGTTTGTTTATGGGTGAAGGCATAATGACTTCAGCATAGAACTGACCTAAAACAGCAACATGCACGTGGCATAACCCCTTTAATGTACATTAAGACGAGAAATCTTAATAAACGATAAACGATTCATTAAAAATTGAAACTAATCCTGTCTCAGCGAAATCGCACTTGAAAGAACCGGATCCAGTGGCTGATATGGCTTATTGAAAACATGTCACAGCCAAAACAAAACTACCGCGGGTATGTTCCACTCTTAACTTAACGTCCTTAAATTCAGTCTCTAAATAAATTCTCCAAACTGATCTCCATACACTTCCTTTTAGAAATGGTTCAGGGAATTCGATAAGAGATCAAAACATTTTTCCTTTGGTGATCATTTTATTAATTCTCAAAACTTTTTTCCTTGATGATGTGCTCGACGATGTTAGGAGAAAAGCGATGATGTTCAATCTTGGGACTTAAAAGGTTAATTGATGTCTTCTCTTTTTATTTTAACGAACATCAGGATCACTGACGGCTAAAAGCATACTTTCACCTTTCAAGTAACACGTATATCGCTTCTAAGACTGATAGGGGGAGACGAAATATCATTTTAGAAGCTTTACTTCAATTCACGATTATACCATCTTCTCAAAAGATCACCTTTAAAAAGCAAGAAGCGGATTTCGAGAAACGCTTATAGCAGACAAGAACAAGTAAAACAGCGGAAGAAACAAGATAACTTTTTACTCGCCTGACTGCGAGTTCTGTTTCTCCGTTTGTACGTGTCATCTTTTTGCCGCAAAGAAAGATAGGAAGGGTGGAAGTCTAACGAGGAAGACGGTCAGAATGGAAAACGGTCCACAATAATTTCTTTAGTCATTACACTCTTCCTTTTCGCTTTCTTCAATTCTATCTTAGCCATCGTCACCTGAAGGACTGGATCATAGAGAGGAAGAAACATCAATATCTTTATTAGTCGCTGTATTCTTCTTCCTCGCTTTCTCCACTCTCATCTAAGCCATCTTTGTCCTCTTCATCTGAATCAAAGTCCCATTGCTTGGTTTCGACTTCTTTTGCTTCTTCAACGTCAATCTGTAACAAACAAATTATGGTAGTCTTGCGTTACCTAAAATCATACATACAGCCTGTTCCAAGCGTTCAAATTGTGGGGACGGTGCAAAGAGATATAAGCAGGAAAAGCAGCGACATTAAGGGGAGGTGGGGGATGGGGGGGGGGGGGGGGGGGGTTGGCGGTTGGCATTATATTTTCCCCATCTATGACTTCACGCCGCAGTCCACAACCTGAACGCGTAGAACTGGTTCAGTAGCGAAATGACCAAGACATGATGCTACCCTAGAGGGAGGGGGCTTATTTGAGGGGCTTATTAATTTCCTTCCCCTGATAGGGGGGCTTAATGGAGAGGGGAGGCTTATTAATTTTCTTCCACTCATGACCAATACTCTCGACTAGATTCCGGTGGACAAAACCTGGAGTCCAACGGAGTCTAGTCGAAAAATGAAACTCGAATCCACTTGAGTTACCGGAAGTATAGTCACAAGATGAAACCGGAAGTGTACAGAATACTTTACACAATGGCATTGCCAGGCGTCCAAGCCTTCTATTCACATTTGAGAGTTTCGGGTATAATCAAAATATCACTGCCTCTTTACGCGCTCTTTGGTGCTTTACTTACGTTAAAATTTTGATGAACGTCCAGGTCCAGATAGGAATCTGATCGTAACGTCACGGTGTAATGATAAGTTTTAGCTTTGTAGGGAGCTTGAAACTTCAGATCAACCTTTAATGAAAGCAGACAATATAATTCAAACATTACAGGGTGAGGAAATAATTCTATTAAGCGGCCACCCTCTATTTAGGCCCTCAGTGGCTGGTTGCTAGAGTCCCAGCGGTCAAAATTGTCAGCAAGCCTCGAGTTGGTGCCTTTGTTCAAAGGAATGTAGGGTCGGTCTATCAAGGCCTTTCAAAAATTGAACAGAAATTAAGCAAGTCACGGTTTTGACCGGACAAGAATATCAAACAAAAACTTTACCTTTTCTTCGTCTTTAAGGTTAAAAATTTGTTGAGGCGGAGTTATAAGCTCTGTTTTCCTGCGGTCGGTTACGTAAATCCACCACCATTCTTGCTTCTCCTGTAGAAAAACGAACAATAAAAAAGATTAATAATCTGAACAAGAAATAAGAATTCTTTCGTACTAACCTGCTTACCATCACCTAAGACGACTAAGGCTTAAAGGAAGATTTCCCGGATTCTTTAATGTTCCCGGATTTTTCGGGGGTCGCAAAAGTTTGCTCAAACCCAAGAACTTTCATTCGGACGCAAAGTGCCCACTTCATCAGATTCCGTATTAAAAGTCTCTGGACACGCAACGGGACCAGACAAGGACATTCTTATTTCGGATTCAAGAGCCTACGCTAAAAAAAACGAAAACAACGAATCAGGTACTAAAATGTTCCGGTTTCGTCACGAATGCGAAAAATCTCTTGTGACTAATTGCAGCCTAAGTGCAGTAAGTACTGCGAAATGGCTCTCATACTACCGAATTGAGAGGAGAAGCACGATGTCATGTTATTATGGTAGCGAAATTTTCGGATCTCAACAATCTTTCTTGACAGAGACGGTTATTTGCATTGTCGCACGATGCAAGAAAAACATGGACTACTGCTTTGTTGTGCAATCATGCAAAAGAAAGTCATGAATCTCAATTTTTTCGTTTTTTTTTGTCCGCCATATTTGCAGGACCACGGATTGTTGAGATCCAGAAACTTTGCTACCATGGCAACGTGGCGTAGCAACGTCTCCTCTCTATAGCCAGACAAGGAAGCTTAAGGGTTGATTTCCACTGTCACGTAATTTTTCCGTGCGGACGGACGTAAAATTTACGCGCGTAAATTAAATAGAGGCAATATATGAAAGGCCATGCGTAAACGTGAGAGTTGAGATCTCCACCTTAAGCCAAAAGAAGGTGATCAGACTTACGTTTACAAATGACAGAATTCCAAGAAAGTTTATCGACATGCACCTAATGAAAAAGAAATGTTTAAAAGTTTGTCGTTACCTCTGGGAAATACGGCGCATGGACAATATGACTTTCTTTAGATTTGGGATCTAGGACAGCATCCCGACTTTTAACGTCGGCTTGTAATCGGTCCCACTCGGCTTCATCTTCGGAATCCCGAGTACTAGCATCTAATGGAGCATCACTGTCTTCGTCTTCGCCAAGGCTATAGAGACAACAGAAAGAGATTTGGTTTACGTTCACTCCGACGACTAGAGAAACTTAGAATTGCACGAGTTAGTTCCAGTCAAAAATTTTTAATCCAAACAACTCACTTTGTCGGTCTAGTTGTCATCAGTTACAGCTATTTCGAGTAAGGTTGTCGGAAAAAATGTGCACTCGACAATCCCGAAAGGTAATATGGGAGATGATCAATACACTGTTCCTGACGACTGTAGCTATCGAACCTACTTTTGTTGCTTTCCTTTAGCACTCGCAAACACATTTCCATGGCCTTTCGTGCCAATTCTTTCAAATTTCTTTGAAAAAAAGAGAACTCAAAACCACCCACAATGCCTTTCAGGATTGTCGCGTGCACTTTTCCCGACAACCTTTCTCGAAATAGCTGTATACAGTATTTCATCACAGCAACTCGCTTTTCAAGTGGGCCATCAAGTGTGTCATATTTGAAGACATGCAGTACCAGATTGCATTGGCCATTTTCACGATGACGACATTTGACTACAACTACCAGATTGAGAATTAACTGCTTTTTTCAAATTTGTCAATGCCGCTGAGGTTTAAACAGCAAGAGCCCTGATTTGCACACGAAAACATCAAACTGAAGGATTCTGGTATCGTACTTGTGGTAAAATGACGTCATCGTACAATTGTCCTATTGTTCGTTAAGAGCGAGGGGCCTAGTACCAGTCCCCGTTGACATTCGCCCCGGACCTCTCGCAGACCGAGAGAGGAAACAGATGATGGTAATCAATGTTTATTGTCTAATACAACCTGGACTACTCTGCTCTCTACGGTGAAAGTCCAAACAAAGTAGAATGTTTGTCAAGCTAAAATGGCTTGTAGAACTTTGGCGCTAATCGATTCTATAGACACGACCGGAAAGTGCTTTTGATTAAAATAGATGACTTGACACACCTACTGCTATCCAAATCTGACTCGTCCTCTTCAGCTGCCTTTCTTTTTGGTTTTTTGATTTCTTCTATTTTGTCATCTGTTTCATCCTCTTCTTCATCTTCTTCAGTCTCTGGCGCTTCCTTCTCCGCCTCACCATCTTCATAATCTTCTGCCTCTTTGTCCTCATCATCCCCTTGTTGCGTTTTTCTTTTGTCCGTTTTGTTTTTGTTTTTCTTTCCACTTGATTCTTCCTTCTCTTCGGCGGTTTTCTGGGGAAAAAAAAAATTTGAAAACATGAATAGTCCATTTCCGAGTTCCAAAAACTCTAACTTTCAAGACGAGGCTAAGTGCAAAACCTTTCTTACGAGAATGAGTTTATGAGTTTTATTGGAAGAGAATAAAAAAAGACAAGACGCTACGGAGCGTACACTTCGGCGTCGTGGTTGTGGAACTGATTAATTGTAAATGCGGAGGAATAGTAAGAAATGAAATATGGTAAGATTAAGGTGTTAATTTTTGAAATATGGGATTTGTCAGGATATTCTGAAAAGAGCAACATCCAATAGGCCTACTTGCCAAAAACTAGCATTCCGGGACAAATTGTCTCAGTGATATCAGCCCAGTTATGCTCTGATGACTCCATACAAATCCTTCCAAATTTGACTTGGGTATAAACGTTTAGATTTAAGTCACATATGAGGTTACTGGCGGTGAATAAAACGTCTAACAAAACAGACCGTGAAAAACGAATTCTCTATTTTTCTTAGTCACATCAGGCTTCAAAAATAGAATAGCAGTCTCATGTACTGATTAAAGATATGTACGGCATGGGTAAGGAGTCGATTACGTTGAGCACAGAATTACCTAAAACTCAATGTTACGAGTTCGAATGTTTTGAGGATAATTATTCACTGACTATCAGCTCGCAGGGATGTCGGATTAACACAAGGAATTTTAATACCAAAGGAACATAGTCTTTACAGAGCTTTAAAACACAGCATCCACCAACACAAACTTGACTTGAACTTAAGTAAAACTAAACAGCCTCTGCCAATAATAACAAACTCTCACTTGAACTTCAGATATCTTACGACTTCCGCCAACTTGTAAACACAGACCCTTCGTCACACTTGACTAAACACAGCACTCCAGCTCGTGGGAGAAAAATTAGTTCATCAAAAGAACTCGCTTGGAACTTGAATACCGTTTGACATAAGGTTCTAGAAAATACTAAACAGGCGAATAGTAGTAGCTTTTCGACATATTTTATGATTTCAGTAACTCATGCAAATCTCCTGACTCATGCTGAAATGTAAACATGCCCTTAGAGTTCCAAGTATGAAAAGCGATGACTGAGAATGTTTAGCTACAATTGCAGCTCGCCATGTCATAGCCCCCTCAAATCAATGAAAAACAATGAAAAACAGACTTCAAATTAAAGCCAGCTGTCCAAACCACTCACCTCTTTTTCGTTCTGTGGGTTCTTTTTCTTGGGTTGTTGTTTAACAGGTTTTTTCTTGGGCTGTTGTTTTTGAGGCTTGGCTTTTTTGCCCTTCTTCTTGTTTTTCTGCCAAACTTTCTGCGCACCTGGTTGAGGTGAACCCTGCAAATAAAAAAATAAGCAAAATTACAAACAGAACTACGGGTCTTCTGCGCTCCAGCGAATGAGCTAATCCTGCCGTGGTTAAAGAGAAAAAAAATGCAGGGAACAACTGTAGGGTGTCCGTTCTAGCGAGGTGGCCGTCTTAGACAGTGAGCACATACCATGAAACAAAATCCAGGCTTAAGAGGGAGGAATTACAAATCACTGCATCGTGTCATTCCCCACCCCCTCGACTGTGTGCTCTGAATGTGCGAACGGTCTATTGAACGAGGGATCCAAGATAACTAGACCTAAGACCGCAAGGACCATCAAAGAATGTTTATGTAATAAGCGATCCTAAAAGTCCCGGATTTCCACGGAACCATAAAGTCATGCGGAACGCAAAATGTGAACGCTTTAAACGGACTCATGTGCTGGGGTAGAGCTTTGTTGTATGCACGGCATTAAGATTATGGCATACTGTTACGACATTTCGAAGGTAATAATAATAAACACGTCATTAACACTGCTTTTCCTACCACTTCTACTATTATTTCATCAATATCATCATTCGCACCTTGGGATCCAAAGCATCATTTTGGCCACTTTCCACCAGTGGGGCATTACTCGTTTCGTCAGCTGCTTCTTGCTCAAAGAAATCCTGTTTAAGATAAAAAGAAGCAAAGAGGGCTTTTAAATCTTTGAATCCTCGCTGTAGTTATAACTGGAGATACAATATTCGTAAAATAAATGTTAAAAAAACTTGAAGAAATTTCTAGAATTTTCACGTCAAAGTCGAGTTCTCGGCCTTTTTCCCTCTCCACTCTCGTTCACCACTTCCGCTATGTTGGGTCCCACAGTGCATAGGGGGTTTTCGCGTCTCGTTTTGCCCGCCGCTCACGCATGCCTTTTCTCGATGTACCCCAAAATGGAGAGCTCGCTCCGCGCAGGTTAACATGTTGGCCGAACATCGTCCACCAAATTTTTTAATGGTAACAGGCTCGTTTGAACGGGACTAAAAGTTTCATCTCCTTCAAAACTAATCCAACATCATTCAGTAAGGCTTTCAACTTGAAAGATGAAGTTGGAGCAACATTTTGAACTCACCTAAGTAAGCCTTAACGCGAGAAACTTACACTGAGGCTAACGCGGACTGAAATATCATTGAAAGTATCTATATGTGAAGCTTAAGCACGCCAGTTACAGCAAGAATGCAAACATAACCCACTGAGGACTCAATGGATAAACAGCATATTCCCATAAGAGCGAGCTCATATTGTTTACAGGTTCGCTGAGGGGATACAGACTAAATTCAACATTTTCTCCTCTTCCCATAAGACACGACTAGTTTACCCCCCAAGTTTGCGCATAAGCATTGCTCTCGATTTCTCTAGGGACGGCTGTAATACCCATATGAAATTAAACACAATTATCGTGCCAAACTTTGGATGGAGGGGGAGGGGGGAGAGGCGAGTTGTCACCAAGGTGTATAATGGTTAATGTGAAAGTGGCATAAACAGCACAAGATCAATACACAGTATGTAACAAACTCACTGCTAGGTTTCTCCTTTTGACTATAACAGACACTGTTACTATTGAACCAGCTGTAATAACACTTTCTTCATCTTCATCATCAAGGACTGTAAAAAAAAAACACCAAATAAATATCAAAAATTCTACCCTCGTGTTAGGAGAGTGAAGAACAATGTGCACTGAACAAAGTATTTTTACGCTCTTTCTCGTCTTGCTTTCTTTAAATTGTCCATTAAAAAGATACGCAACGAGTAGTTCCTCATTTTCCACAGAGATTGCTCAGGGAGCGAAATACGCGAGCACGCGTGAAAATCGCCGCCACCGTCGAGGAAGGTGACACGCGTCTTGCCTTTCCCCGCGCGCGGCGATTTTCACAAGGCGCGCTCACGAATTTCGCTCGCTCAGCTATCCTTGAGGAAAATGAGGGACTAATCGTAGTCTGACAAATTGTGAATTTCTCATAATTTCTCAGTCCACATTTACGTGGTCTCAACTTTCTCATTTCAATTTTTTCGCTTGCACACTTAGTGCGATGAACGTCTCCTTCTCACGAAAAACTCAAAAGCAAGTGACATACCTACACCAGCCCACGGCCTGGCTAGTACCCAACCCATGTGCACAGCCATACCACTCGGATATCCTGGACAGTTCGCCCTTTCTTAAGGCCCACCGGCATGGCATAGCCGTCGGACCCCTGCATGGTCAAAGCCGTGTTCGGAAGCTCTCTACAGGGGTTCAGCGGTTATGCCATGCTGATGAGAAACAGCTGTCCATGGCTGCCACTACAAGGTGGATATGGATGTGCGCATGCGTTAGGTACCGGCAAAGCCGTGAGTTGGTGTGGGCGCGTGAGTCACTTGGTATTAAGTTTGTCTCCTTCTCAAGCTCGGTCAAGACGATCATGTCACAGGGTTTAAGGGGGGCGACCTTTGTAACTACAGCAATGCTGAATAATACCTTTGCACACAGAGACTCATTTGTTCGAACCAAAGATACATATTTTGTAATTCACATGACCACAACAAAATAAACGCTAAGACTTACAACGGCACATTTAAGAAAGGACAAAACCCTACCATCATGCAATAATCTTCGTTCTAAGCAAGTTCACGAATATTTTTGGAAAAATTTGGCAAGTATAAAAACAACGCTGCCTCGAACGACGTTCTCATACTCCTTACTGTTGGCGATTACAGCGGTACAGCCTTGTTTGGTCGTAAAACGCGAAAATTCAACGGGAATAAGTTGTCCACGAGAACGTTTTGACCTGAAGTCTTAACCTTTTTTACGTCCGAAAATGCGCCCTTCGAAAGGAGAGTTGCGACACGACCGAAATAACGGCAGCGTAATAAGGGACTAAAAGGCAATTTTTTGGTCATCTTTCTGTTTTACGGGCTACATTACTGTCTAAGGGTGCTTTCCATTTGTCAGAACTGGCGGCCGGTCCATTGCCGGACTAGTCAGTTTGAAAAAATGAAAATGAAATCGACTTTTTTCAAGAGATTTTCTTGAAAAACCACCTTCTTCGTGCATACTATTCAGGATTTGACTGATCTGGCTGGATAGTTTTGATTTAAAGTGAAATTCTCGTTACGACTGGAAGGGTCTGGCCGGTCAGTTATGACAAATGGAAAGCGCCCTAAATTAACTCACAGATCAATTTAGGTTACCCCACCTCCCCCCCCCCCAACCCCCACCACCACCACCTAAGCTAGCATTAACTCTTAATTCTCACTTATGGCAAAATGATGGCTTAGGGGAGGGGTAGGTGGGCAGTTTCCTAGAAATCTAAATTGATCGAAACTCACCATGTGGCTTGACTTTCATTTCAACAATGGGAAGCATGGAACAAACATTGATGACATCTTCATACTGCTCCCCAGTCAGGTTCCTTAACAGAGATCTAAAACGAAGCACATACCCTGTAATTAAACTAGTGGATTCCAGTAGCGTGCGTATTCGGTTTGTTTACGCCCGGAGAGAGTAAAAAAACCCACAATGCGCTTGACAAGCGACGCGCACGACTTCGTTAACTTTAGTATATACTTTATGTAAATATGTAAATTGATATTTTATCTATGCCTGACCCGCCTCGATTAGTGTTGCGGCTACTTTGCGAGTCAGCTCTGTTGTACGTGAAATAAATAGAGGTTGTTGTTGTTGTTGTTGTTGTAAATGCTCAAAGGCGTGCAAGACTGAGAGAAACCTCTGCTCGCAGAACATTCAGTCCTATTACATATACATATCTGCGAAATACACGTTCATAAATTAAATCAGATTAAATGAAATTAGCTTTGCTTACTAAATCTATTGTTTATTTGTTTTATGACGTTCTCGTTGCCATCGCCGAAGTTTCGTAAGCTTCCTAATAACCCCTCTGTATCACTCACGAAAAATTGTTGCGGCCAGCGGTCCTTACATTCATAATTATTGATTTGGAAACATTTACGTAATGGCTACTTCTGCACAACAGCAACAGCTAGCATTTAACTAGAGCGATTTGCGGCAAACGTTTACAGCAAACGACAAACGTTAGATTCAAGTTGGCATTTGAAAATGGGAAGACAAAGCCTGTCTAAAATCATTCTTAGTGATGAACCTGGCATTAAAGTTCTAACTTTCGTGTAGATATAACCAACACTAAACCGCAAGTAAAGGGAAAATTTAGTCACGTAGTACAAATTGACTTTTGCCATAAACGTGATTCTAAGGGTGCGTTTCTTGACTAAAATCCGAGATCGGATCGAAAATGTGGATCATCAGGATTTTTCGTTAAAAGAAAAACGCTGTAGCCAAAAAAGGATTATTTTTCATTAATTTCCATAGAAACGACCCACAATATCGACGGTATCCTGGAGAAAGAATAACACGGCTGCTGATGATGTCACAAATTTACTGATCTTTCATTTTATTCTGGACGGTTAGCTCAAGGATACAGCTTGAAGATGAGTCTTGAAATAAAATATCTACTGGGAAAGTAAAAATAAATGTTGCAAGACGCGCCAGCTAAGTAGTGTAGCAGTTTTGTCTCGATTTGTCGTTGTAAACTAGAACAATGTTGGTCCCGTTTGTATAGCGAGTTTAATATCCCGATAAAACGGATAAAATCGATCGTTTAATCCATGACTCGAGTTCAAAAATGGCCGTAAAGATGAGCAGAGTTGTCAAACAGCTGCTCAATAGGGCCATTTATAAGAGGAAAAATGAGACGCGTCTTACATAAGACGCGTCTTACATAAGACGCGTCTTAAATAAGACGCGAACTGTACCATTTATACGAGCATGTCTTATCTAATAAGACGCGTCTTAGCTAAGCCGCGTGTTATTTTAGACCAAATGTGCCGTTTATACGGAAAGTTCGCGTCTTATATTTCCTCGTATAAATGGCCCTAATGTATTAAAATTGTTTCGAGTTACCGCTTGCTGTATTCACTCTTTTCGGATCCGTCGTAAAGAAACGCTTCGGATCATGTATCCAAAGTGTCCGGTTTTGGATATGATCCGAAGAATCCATCTCCGTTGTGGATCATTTGGATCAATAATCCGTTTTTGGATTTTAGTAAAGAAAAGAAATATCCATTTACGGATTAAAAATCCGGATTTGAATTTTAGTGAAAAAATGCACCCTAATCTCTCTATTTTTCCGAACGACAAAATTCATTTACAGTCATGTATCCTCTACACAACGGCCAAGGTATCATGGTATAGTAAAATCACACGAGCCCTGTGGTGAGATTTACTTAAGATCTATTAGACTAGGCAGGAGTGTACTACTTCCGCAAAATAGATCTAAAGTAAATCTCATCACTTCAACAGACCGACAGTTGCTATAGTTTAGGGGTTGAGATCTAACTCGAATGAACAAGAATTTATTACTTATGGCTGATTTAACTCACCTCCTATCCTCGTCTTTCATAGACGTCAGTTGTCGAATGGAACGAACACTTCTCTGTTGGCAACAAAAAACAACTTGAAATTATTCTACAATTACAGCCATACAGACAACATTGATCTGGAGTCAATATCATAAAATTTTCACCCGCGGTATTTGTAAAAGCGTAGCTTTGTTTTTACGCGTCTAAACTAGTTCTCAAGTTTTTTATTGCAAGGTATAACGTGCAAAATGCTTTGTTTTATTAGTTAATGAAAAAATGGTAGCTGCGTGATCAAGGTCTATTGAAAGTTTAGTACTGTAAGCCGTTAAAGAACGCCATGTTAATTTGCGCCGTGATATGTGCATAGACTTACGATGTAATGCACGGGTCAGCTGTATCTAACAAAGTGATCAGGGTAGGAGTGAATTTTTTCCCGTATTTGCTGTAACTTTAAAAATGACCTCACCTCCCAAGATTTAAAAAACAGACTCCTGTTGATACGTATGGTGTCAGAAGGTACCGGTAATTACAACAACTTGAAAAAGTACAAAACTACAACTGTATGGGAATGCAGATAAATCATCAAGAGAGAAAGAAAATGAATATCAATAGAATGATGTACCTTTTTGGTAGTAAAGTGTCGTAAATTTTCCTGATTAAGATGCGGTAACTGTAACAAGGGTGACTTGGTATCCCATAAACCCTGTACCATCATCTGACTGACACGCATGCAGTTTTCAACGGTCTCAAGCCTGGGCGTGTTCGTGGCTAATCAAAAGCAAACAAAGAGTTATCAACAATTTTCCAATAGGGAAAAAAATTAAATTAAATTAAATTTGGTAATCCCAGTGAGGTTTAAATAACAAAAGCCTTAATTTGCACAAGAAAGCAATGCCCTGAAGGATTCTGGTCGTAGTAGTAAAATGATGCAAAATCACACAAATGGCCTATTTGCACCAACAGGCTGATTTTAGGCAAGTAGAAATTTTCCATTTTGTTCTTTCTCTATGCCAATCAATCCTATAATTTCACATATTTAGTTTTTGTGACGTCATCACTTCTTTTCTCTATGGCGGTTAGTGACTTCTCGCCGACTCATTGGTCTAGAACTTTATGGTCTATCAAGTACCATGAGAGTATTGCCAAGCCCAAAAGAAAAGACATGGCACAATCTGTTTTCTTCGTCTCTACCGCGCTTCTCCTAGAGACTTCACTGGAAATAAACATTTAGGGACGGACCATTAAAAAAGTTATGGGGGGGAGGGGAATTTTCGAGCCACAGGAATTTTTTTTCGTTATCAACTTCCTTGTATGAATTTTTTTTAGGCCATAGCATGAATATTTTTTAGGATGAATTGGCGTGCATAAATTTTTTTCATTTAATTATCCCTTGCGCGAATATTTTTTTTGTACTTCCCCCCCCCTCCCCCATAAGTTTTCTAATGGTCCGTCCCTTACTGTGAAACTCACAAAACCGTGAACACCAAAAATATTTATGGAATGTTATTGTGTTGCGAGGAAACAGCCAATAAGGCATGAGAAAACTAAACCGCAAACAGCAAAGGTAATTAGTTTGTGGTTTTGAGGTTTGCTTGCGTGTATTTACAAACTGAGACTTACTTCTCCCTGCTTTAGCCATAGCTATAAGTTGTGCTACACAGCTGACCATTTCCTGAATTAAATATGGACTCTTTGACAATATAAGATCAAGATCTGCAGGGATAAAATGACAAGTATTATTAAATGTCAAAAGTTAAAATCCCAAGTGTCTAGCAACAAGGTTGGGTATTAATAACTGTTAACAATATACGCTGGACTGTAAGGAAGCTGCTCAAGGAGCTCCACTCCTTTTTTTTTCTATAAGAATATATATTTTATAAGACTATTGAGGCTGAAATTTGCGAAATTTTAAGAATATTTTAAGAATAAACCCGAGGCTGAGATTTTGAAAGGAATATAATTTTGTGTTTGTTTTTAATCTAATTGATAAAATTTTTCCTTTCTCTAACGGCAAAACTAGCCAGCAAAACAGAAAAAAAAAACACAGCACTAACTAGAGCGAAATGTTCAATGCTAATAACAGTTCGATGAATGGAACATGTAATACTTATGAGCAGTATCTGTCCTAAGCTTTAATTCTAGAATAATACAAGAATATTTTCAGCCTAAAATCGGCAGAAAAATAAGAATATTCAGCCTGGGCGGGAAAAACAACATTCTTATCTATATAAAAAAAGAGTGTATGTCACGAGGCAAGAGCATATAACACGACGCCATTGCTGTTTTAAGTCAATTCTGTGCTGAAGTCATTACTTAGTGACTTTAGCCACACATAAAATGCTCCTGTAGAATTATGAAGAAGATACATGTATGATACTGATACAAATTTTATCAGGAAGCACTAGCCTTAATAACGTTTTGGTGTTTTTTTCGGGCTTAGCGTCAAAAAGTGGTCCTCCTTGCCATTGTAACAGACGACAGGAAACAATTTCAATGCCTTAATATGGTCTTAACAACAAAACTGGACCATTATTTTTTTAATTCAGTTGATGCGAAAAAAGTTTTAACTTTTTAAAAAGATAGCAGATAACTTGATATAGTCCCCTTAATGACGATTGTTTGGGATGAGCGATTAAGATTATCGGAAACTATTTCCCTCCGGAGTAGCCATTACCCGGGGTGGAAATTCCCACACAAAAGTGACAGCCATGCTTTGTCATCTCACTTCGGAGTGTACATTGGTGTGTGACAGGTCACAAGTCACTATATTTGCCCATTCAGGTATCGGTTAGTACCGTGCCTAAAGAAATTTACAAAAAATGTCATATGTAACACTTAACAAACAGAAATCTCCCTTAGGGGTCAGTTTAAGCTTGAGCCACACCCACATTGGTCTCCCTTCGGGGTTTAATTTGAATTTTCTGACAAGCATCCCTATCACTTATGGGAGTCTCCCCCCCGCCTCACCCCCGGGCTTTTCTCACCTGATTTGAGGGTAAGCCTTGGAAGCTCCAGCCTTGACAGATGAGCGTGGATAAGAGCTCTTGCCTTGACACTGTATGGGTAGCACAGTGGTGGCTCCTTGTTCTTATCCCCAAGGTTAGGTAAATCTCGCATCAACTGCATACATACAAAAATAAAAAAATAGAAAATCATACACAAAAATACGGACAAAACAGCGTTTAAAAATAATGGTCAGATATAACAATCAAGGTTTCAAAGAGACTATTATATGACTCCAGTAACAGTGGCCAACAGTCAAACAGACAAATCACATCACTGGTCAGATAACAATATTATGTCAAGCCATTGTTCCTAATCATTATTAATCATATCACTCTGCAGATAAAATTCAGTAACCTTTTTTCTGACTGCCTTTTTTAGTTTGATCTGACCAAAGTGATGACTTAACAGTCAAACAGACAAATCACATCACTGGTCAGATAACAATATTATGTCAAGCCATTGTTCCCAATCATTATTAATCATATCACTCTGCAGATAAAATTCAATAACCTTTTTTCTGACTGCCTCTTTTAGTTTGATCTGACCAAAGTAATGACTTAATGATTGCAGAAATTTTAAAATGTCCTAACACGATTTTTCACCTTTTGCAGCCTTCTTTTTAAACAAATTGGGCAAACACAACCTAGTTTAAAAAATTTAAACCTGAATTTAATTTTGGCCTGTAACATATATGATGTAGTTCAATTATTTTATCCTTGCCCGGTTCAAATTTTATTTTCTTAAATTGTTTTTGGGTATGGTAATGTATGATAATAACACAATAATGACTTTGAAACAAAAGAAAATAAAATTTGAAGCAAGGATAAAATTGAACCACAACATATTCACTCTGGATAAAAGCAAACCACTCCAAACTACTCCAAACAATGCTGTGACATTTTGGGGGTTGTACAGTACTCTACCTTGATTATTTTTACTCTTGTACCAGCCCACTTACCTCTGGTAGTTCTATATTATCGCTTGGTCTCTCTTGGATTTCATTATTGTGACCTTTTTCAAATTCCAAGGATCCAGCAAGAATCATCAAAACACCTAAAATTTGATGAGGTTCAGTATGATAGAGAAACAAAACAGTGAAATGTCTTTGTTGCAGATTTTAAAAGGGACAGAGCCAGGTGTCCACATTTAGATATCTGTGGATTGAATGTATTGTATCAGTCTGGTATCTTTGGGAACAACAGAAATGTCTAAGAGAGAGGTGGAAATTGAGCCTAGGGGCAACAGGGCACTGCTAGTACACAGCCTTGCTGTGTCCTCAAATGATCCACATCAAAATTAACACAAAATTATTAACAGTAAATCTGAAGGTACTTACGCTTAGTCTGCATAGTTGGAGTTTTGTGAAAGAAGTAGTAGTAAAGTTGAGTAGTGTCTAATAAAATCTGTTCACAGCTGTACTGAATGGACTTGTACCACCAGGTTCCCTGACATGAAAAAGTGAAATAAACATTTTCAATAACCTCTGACATATGGATCCCTCTCTAGTTACCAGTAACCTACTGCAATTTGACATTTCAATGCGGGAACCAACAACTATTTTCTATAAAAATTAATATCTGTTGGGAGAAGCAAATATTGCCTAGAATTTTCTTTTACTTGAAGACGGCTAAAAATTTCTAGATGACCGTTCCATTCATGTGCAAATTTCGAAGCTAATCTAACAAATTATAAAAAAACATAGGAAGTTTAATGTTAAATTTCACCCCCCTGAGGTTTGGCTGTTTTCAAAGAAAAAAGGAAACCTAAAATTTTTGGAATCCAATTTTTTTTTATCTTATGTGTCAAAGAAACACCATGAAAGCATTTAAGGTTTAGGATCAACATAAGAACAAAGATGTTTAAGCCATGTACATGAACTAATGTTAGAGACTGTATTAATTAGTATTTAAGTTACAAGGGACATCTGACACTTTGATTATGCAAAAAATATCTTATAAATTTATACCCCTTGGCCTCTTGGCCTCTGTGTAAACTAATATTCTAACCATCTAGGCATTATATTTTTACAGTTTTATTCAAAAAGAACTGCATATCTTACCACTGCAACTGGAAGAATCACCATAAATGCAAGGCCATATGCTCCCAGCACCTATACAAAGAATAATGGCGTTTATAAATATAAAAAGAACATGATTGTTTTCAATTATCACAATCAAAACATGAAGTACAGATAAAAGACAACCTCTACATTTAATGAATAGCTTAGTTTAGTTCAAGGTATTCACATAACTGGAATATCTGGAAGTTAAATATAATGGCCATTATGTAATGATGTGTAATTAATAACCATTATAAGGGGGAGGGAGGCTATGATTTCTTAAGTCATGCTCATACCAAGGACTTTGAAAATTATTTTTAGGTAAACAATTATGGGGCATCTTGATGCTTTCCCCTTCTTTCCACATTAGATGACTTTTTTCTAAACAGTTCATAACTTACACTTTAGACATGCAAGAGTACTGACGGATAAAAAACAAAAAGCTGATGCCATCAGAAGCTTAAGGGTAGTTCTGCCAGTAGTGTGTCCTAGATTTAGCACTAAATCAAGCAACGTTCTGCATGTCTATGCAACAATCATCCTTAACCAAGTTCTGATGTCTGATCCTCTTAATGATGAAAATCCACAAGCCACTACATATATGAGTTGATCCACAACATGGTGACAATAACCAATAAATATGCATTAATGACCAAGCTTGAGGTCAAGATGGCTGTATATCGGCCAAATTCTTTTTTTTTTTTACATTTTTATTGACAGGGACGAAGTCGAGGTCAACAAAAACACAAAAAAGAAGGAGGCCAGTATTCAGCCATCTTGATCAAACAAGCATGGTCAATAACTTGGGCCAACAATGAGCCCATCATAACCAATCAGAATGCAAGATTCGCTGCAGCTTGCCTGTTGGTGGATTCAGCCATATGATAAGCAGGTTTAAATAAAGTGTAGCTTATTAACAGTTAAAACAGAATGATGTTACGCACCCACATTGAGTTCTCCTTGCTTACTAGCCAGGAAGGGAGAGCAATTCCAAAGCTGGTTGCTGAAATTATAATGGCAATAGGAGAAAACTAGTTACCTTAAAGTACAAGGGGGTGAGAGTTTGTACCTCAAACCTAATGATCTGGGCCAAGTTGTTCAATGACAAGAGGTAATAGAGGTTAATGGCAACAGGAGCATAATTATAGGACATCATGATAACTAACCCTTGATTTGCACTCATCATCCTTAAAACAACTTGGCCATGGTTAAATTACCATATCTACGTATTAATAATGATTTTTTTTTTTAAATCTGTGGAATGTACTTTTCTCTTCTCATTTACAAGACATTTGTGCCAACCACTATTACTGCAGTTATATTCAATTTGGTGAATTAATTTTTATCTTAATCATTCTTGGGAGCAATGAAAGGCAACACAGTTTGACAGTTCAGTTTAGCAGTCCTACCTCCTGGACCATCAGGGTTTCCATGTTCTTCCCAGTTTTTCCTTGATTCTTCATTTGTTAAGCTGAGAGGGAAATACAGTTTACATGTTGCTTACTAACAATGATTACTGATCTATGTCAACACTTTTGCAGCTGAATAAAAAAGCACTGAAAAACAGATTGACGCCTGACTTAAATTTGCTGGAAGATTTTTGAGAAACCAAATGCAGGGCGTTAATTCAGGTGAGGTTCATGCAACTACAATGCATCTTAAGAGGAAGCCCATAATTGTTAAGGTCACACACATGTCCCGTAAACTCATTACAGAAACGCGCCCATTGAAAAACGTCGCCCGTGAAAAGTGGGGTACCCATTAGGCTTTGCGAGCAAAAACGAAGTTTGAAAGACTACCGTCGTTTTCGGTCTCTTATGAACTTCATAGCGGTTAACTATTCTCACACTTTCAAGAGACAATGCAGAAACAATAGAAGAAGGTTGCCATTGTCTTAAGTGTTGGAATGTCTTTGTCAGTGCTTCAAGTTTATGCAAAGAGAAGCATTTTTCTTCCTCGTGCACTAACATAAAACCCTCGCAAATTCGGTAGTCTCGTGCGAATCGTTTTGATGGCAAAACAGTTAAAGCTAATCAGAAACCAAAGTATTCTTCACTTAAAAACTCATCTTCACGAAAATCGCTCGATAAGATTGAATAAAAATGTTTGCAGCGTTTATAAATATTATTATCAGAAGCGGTATTGTAGTTGTTTTCAAGAGACGGATTAGATCGCTGTTTAGGTTTGGACGTTAAATATGTAGTTATAGTGTTCTTAAAGAAAGTATCGCTCTTAATTTTGCCTTATACTATGCTAAAATCAATGTCTTAAATGAAGAATGTAAGTGAGAGTGCTTTTTCGTCGAATTTGCCCGTAAATTTTAAGGTTTATAATATTATCCAAAACCCGTGACAAAATGTTAACAAACTATTAACGCATCGGTTCCGCTCATATTTCATTCATCGATTCGAACACCAAGAAGTTTGTAAAAGGTAAAAATTCATTTTAAGTCAGTGCATTTACGGCAAAATCAACAACAATCATCGAGGATTTTTCAATTTTGAAGCGTTTAACAGCAAAAAGTCACATGCTAATTCGGAGTAAATTTAGACAGTTTTTAAACAGACTGAGCTATTGTTAGCCACGTAAAGTTCTATTCTTCATCGAAGAATACGCAATTGTTGCGGATGTCTGAACAGGAACAATAACCAGGAAAGGGATATACCCAGGGGATTTCTTGATTGACACTAAATTAACGTCATTTTTCACTTATTTGCATTTTCACGATCGACGTTTTTGAATGGGCGCGTTTCTGTAATGTGCTGCGTAGAAGCCCTGGGCTTATAGCTGTACATATTTGTAATGGGTTTTAGGAGGCCTTATAAACAAAGGGGTTCATATCCAAGTGAGCTAATTAAAACCAGAAAAAAAACACTTCATAAACAAGCTAGATGTATAGCAGCGCTGATCAAAATGCATTTTGCTTTTATTGGTTTTTAGTTATAAGCTTCAAAACATCATGATAAATCAAACTCATTTCAATACAAACTAGCGACAGGCTTCTTGGGGGTGCCATGCATGACCACTCTGAGCTGGTAAATATAGGGCATATAATGGAACCTCGATATAACGAAGGGCAAAGGGACTGGCAAAATTTGTTCGCCACAAACAGGTTTCGTTATATCAAGGCTCTTTTCCATAGGTTTTACTATTACTGGGGCAAAGAAAATCACTCACTATACCAAGGACTTCATTATATAGAAGTTCATTATATCAAGGTTTCACTGTATCATTGATTTTACCTCACCCTGTTAGTAAGTCCTGTCTATGTTCCAAAATTTTTAATAAACACCTCTTAGTCAATGAAAGGTGGGACATTTTAGATATAACAGTGGTTGGATAAAATAAGAGCGAAATTAGGGTACTCACGCCTCGTAAGCTTTGGCTATTCTCATAAATTTTTGCGGATCACCAGTTTCCTTATCTGGATGGTACTTCATACTTAGTCGGCGATACTGACGACGAATGTCAGCTGTAGTTGCGCCCTACAAAAATTAACATGAACATCAATATCATCATAAAAGAAGAAAGACGGCAGCTTTACTATACGTGTTGTTTGAAAGCTTATAAATTTATAGAAACATCAATTCTAATTTAAGATAAAAACAAAAAAAGAATGATTAAATTTACACCAGGACAAAAATGTACATTATGTACTTCACATCATATTATTCTTGACAAATTTAGTTAGCATAACTATTTTATGACTGAATTATGAATGCCCCTAAAGTGAACATAATTTGAACTATAGCAAAGGCAGCACTGTCTACTCAGTTGTTTCGCAGATGCTGACTCCAGTTTTTCAAACCTTAGATAAAGCTATCAGCTGGATAAATCTCTATCCAAATGATAACACAATTAGTTTCCTAATACTTACGTGTATTTGCTGGATAGTGATTTATCCAGTGGGTAGCACTATCCATGGTTTGAACAACTGGGACCTGGTCAATAGTCCAGTGCCGTAGCCAGACCAAACAGCCAACCGAGGCAGGCGGGAGTTGCTAGGGGGGGTTGGGGCATTCCCCCGAGAAATTTTGAACTTTAGTCTCTCGGAAATGCGATTTGCAGCGTTTTCTGGGCCTTTCGGTAACTTTTTTTCGAGTTAATCTAAGTGGAATTTAAAAAGCAATAATCAGAAACAAGCTACATAATCTGGGTGACCGTTAACCTCGCCAATGGTTTTGATCAGTATTTGTTCAAAAAAAATTTGAGTTAACGTATGTAGCCCCTTGAGATCGATGATATGGTAATTTTTTCATAGTATATTGACTGAATTGCTGAATTCTTTGTAATATCATGATGCGTTAAAAATATCCAATGATCGCTTATGTAAAATAAAAATGATCGGCGAAATTCGTCAAAATTTTACCGAGGCGAGTGCCTCGGTTGGCCTCATACTAGCTACGGCGCTGACTACAACACGGGATCAAGCCCTAGCTTACTGCTCCACAGACTCTGGAACCCAACAGATTAAACTAACCAGGTGATAGTTAGCCTGACTAATTCAGACAATCCGGGTCAACCACAGTTACTCACTCTGAGTAACCACCAGAAACCTAGACTGTATGAAAACCAGGCTAGGTGGTTGTATACAACTATACTACTACATTTTATTGCTGGGCATAAAGGCAGAACTCTAAAAAGAGAGGTCACTTACCCGATCTAACTCTAATACAGCATAAGGATCATACTCAGTGAAGTCTTTTTCAAACTGGGATATTTTGTACACTCCAACAAAAAACAAAACCCAAAGGACAGCTAATACTGAAAGACTGAACAAAAAGGCATCATAACAACATTTGCACTACTGTTGTAAACATTTCCAAAGAAGAACAAGTGGATTAAGAACCTTCAGCCTGGAGTTTAATGAATAAGGTACCATACAAATAAGACTGTTAACTGGAATTAAGTTCAATTCAGCCTTAAAAAATTGAACAGGTTCTTGAATGAAAAAGAATTTTAGTATCAAAATTAGAAAACAGTGGCCTGAATAAAAGTACATGTATCAGTGCTAGACCATTTAAAACACAGCACAGCACAGGGATTGTGGGTGCATAAATACTGACCGAGTGCCCCCCAGGCATCCCATAATACTCCTTAAATCTAATAAATTTAATGTGGCCACCATATCGGTAAAAAGGTCTATTTCGAGTTGATTATCATGTAGCCTGAAATATTGTTGCAACTGTACAGTGATTTGTTATTTGTCATATTTAATAGTTGTGATTGTGCCTGCAGCTGTTTAAAATAACAAAATGTTTAAGAGCTAGTATACTTTATAAATTACCCGTCATTTCAACTATTGAAAAGTTTCGTTAGAGCTTAAAAGTGGGATCCCAAACTTTTTACTAAAATGAATCTGAGAATCAACAAGATACAAGCTATAATATAGAAAATGACTTAGCTAGCCACATGGTCAAACATATCGAGCACATGGGTAGGTACTAGTATATATCACTTAAATAAAACTCACTATTATGGTTAAGTTTAAGCTGAAACCCTAAAATTTAGTCAGCAAGTTTAAAAACATTAAAATTGTAAGCGTACAAAATTACACGTCATTCTTCACAGATATCAATTAACGGCTGGTCAATAAAAGTTAGCTCACCTCAAATAGCGAATACTCTTTGATCTTGGCTCTTTTTTCCTCAATATCGCTCGTTTCTCTACGCACGGTGGACATCTACAGATTTTAACCGCTCTTTTCTTATCATCTGAAAAGTGATTTGACAAAAAATCATACTAAAAAACCGAGAAGTCGCTCAGCTGACTTTCACGACGAAAAGAACTTATTGTTGTTTTGTGTACGACTGGAGAGAGGTTTAACTCACCTGGCAATTTTGTTACATTCCAGACATAATAGGTTACAGGAACAAGAACTATACCATAGAAAGATATAAGAAAATAATAGAAAGTTGTGCCTTTTTCATCGTACTCAAACTGCGCTCCGGCCATTATTGGTTTCAGGTAATGAAAGAAGCGATCATAAAAGGTCAGCGGATTTCAAAAAAAAAATGGTAGGTACATCATGTCATGCGCGAAGATAGCCTGTCTAGTGTACCGTGGGGATTTTTGCTGCCGTGTTCGACCAGGAGCCCATCGAGGTGATGGGCTCCTGGCTCGAATGACAGAACTGGCATTTACCTTGGCCAGATTTTCAGCAAACACAAGGCAAGATCATTGATCGCCGAGGGCTCTAGATGCTAAGGGGGATCTTGAAATCTACACGCTCGCAAAAGCTATATTGTCCAGTGGTGGATCCAGGGGAGGGGCTCGGGGGGGGGGGGCCGGCCCCCCCTTAATTTTCTACCAAAATGAGGCCCGAAGTCCCGAAAAAATTTTTTTGGAGACCGGGCCCCCCTTATCTTAGGGTCTGGATTACCGTCCCCCCCCCTTTTCCCCTTATCTGAAGGTCTGGATCCGCCACTGTTGTCAGCATTTTTCACATATCAAAAAATGGTATTCTGTCAAAAAACCAGGAAAAATAGGGTTTACGCTCCTGGTGATTACATTAGGAGCCTACTAGATGGGCACTCACGAAAGTGAAATTATAGATGAAATAATTGTGAGTATGCAACGGACACCCTTAAAAAAAACCGTGGGACACAGGGAGTAATCGTTATTTTCTCGATAGAACTGTGGCCAGTTGCATAAATTTTGAGATTAAGAGTGACGTTTAAGGCAGCTTTACGCCAAGTGACCAAGTTTTCTCATTACCTGTCGTTTACTGTTCATTACTTCTAAAAAAATAAGTATTTTTACGTCATATTTATCCATAAGAATTGTTTTGAGCTTTTTTTATACGCCTATTTTCTGTTTCGAAAATTCTGAACTTGAAAGTGACGTTTGCCGTTTGCAGTAAACGTGACGTTTACTTTAAGTTATATATTAATTCAGATTATCACCTAATTGGTCCTAATTCATTTCTGAGCCCAGCCAAACTGTCTGGTCTGTCAGGGCATCAGGCTACAGTTGGGCACAGCACTCTGAATAAATTTGTACGAACAAGCTGACTTCATTCGATAGCGCAACCGCACATTTTGACTAAGGGGCCCTAGATTATACTTCAACCCTTTAAAATATAAATGGTATTGCATTGTTACTTTCCGTCTCATGCTTCTCGAATAATCTATGTCTACGGTCCTTTGTATAATCTAGGATTTGACTACTCTTCTTTCGATTCGTTACTCATCGAGGGCCAAGTTGTTCAAAGCTGGGTTAAGATAACCCAGGGATAGTGCGAGATTTGAATTCAGATTTGAAAGTTTAAAAGGCATTTCAGTTTTAATTCTGTCTGTCTAGTACAAGTTGATGATTGGGAGCTCTAAAAATAGCAGAGAAAATTATCTGAAAAAATGCTTTTGAACACGAGAAAGAGAACCCCGGGTTAAGCGCTAATCGGCTTTCGAAGAACTGGGCCCAGAAATTTCCGCGCGCTTAGACAAAACGCGGGAAATTTGACGGCTGCCGATGTTGCACTACCAGCGTCGCTTGCCGTCGCCTGGTAGATCCGCCTGGTAAGTGTTGCTCATTTTCTTACATTTGAGAATATTCACATGGAGGAAAAGAATGTCTTAGAAAGTGCATTTGAGTGGATTTGTGAATGTGGGGCTTTTGAGCAGCTTAGAAAGCAATGTGAACAATACACAAAAGATTTTACGGTAAGCCTAGCTCCGCATTTACATCCCGAAAGCTCAAGTTTAAAGAGTGGAATGGTGAACAAATTTGGATTGTACTGTAAACTCAAGCTTACTTACTGTGTAATCTACGGAATTAAGAAATAATAAGAAAACTTATTCCATTGAAGAACTTCCACTGTCTTAGCATCATGTACATGGCTAATTAAACCACTAACTCTTCTCAGTTTTTATTCTTGATCAGGAAAAAAGTGTTTACAGATTTGTTCTTAACATGGACTTGATGTATCTGCTAGACTTTAACGGTATGTAAGTTATGTATGCATAAACGTCTTGACAGAACCGTATATCGAGACCTGATTTCATCCAGCTTTGAATTCTCTAATCTTTAAAATCTAAAAATAAAAGATAGACAATGTAAACTTATTTCCATCCTTCCTGAATAGTGAATACTTTTAACGCATTGTTAAAGTTATATGACCATTTATGGGCAAACTTAACCTAATTCAATCTGGAGTGTCGATTTATCTCTTTTTAATAGCTGAAATTGGAAATATGGCCATACACGAACCATTGAATTGCATCAATTTATTTCAAGAGGTAAGAACTTAACTAATTTAATTTATAAACGAAGAGAAAGAGTTTTATAATAGAAAACATGGTTTGTCATTAGGCCTTGAGGGGCGGGTGTAAAAATGGTAAGAGTGAATAGGAATGAACGGATATTCACTGGCGCTCGCTATCAGTTGGCTTTGTAAACTAGAGTTACCTCTTTCGAGAGGATTTATCCGTAGAATAAAATGTGTAAAATGTATGAAGTTGCTTTGACCTCTTTTATAGCAGACTAATAAAATTCTATTGTAGGTTTGTTATGTTATTATTCACACGCTGTCGTGGATTCCAAATTTACTGTACCCCTCTCAAGTTGTTGCCATTGTCAGATTTTCTTCCGTTTCACCATCTAAAGAGTAAGTAGTTTTTTAATGAGTTACCACCAAACTACCTTGTCTGTAAAAGTTACCACTAGCTGGCATGGGTTGATATGCAGTGACGGATGCGTGCAGACCTCCAGATAAGGGGGAGGCCCGGTCATTCAGACCATGAGAAATTTTTTTTTTCGGCCCGTCGGGCCTCCGTTTGGTTTAAAAATAAAGGGGAAGGCCCGGGCTCCCCGGGCCCCTCCCCTGGATTCGCCACTGATTTGTAATCATCATATGTTATGTATCCGTCTTTAGAATGAACTAGTTCTGTTGTGACGATTCCAAACAAAACTAAAGCATCGATACATCTGATCCTATACATGAGAGAGACTTCACTGATGCTTTTAAAAGTAAACGGAACTAAAATCAGTTGTGGAATTGCATTTGTTTCGGTATCCTACTGATCAACAGTAACGGACTATCAGATATTTCCTGATTACTTTACAGCTTTCTCCAGCTGTATGGCAGTGCAGTACTGTAGCAATCAGACGTAATTTAGTCTGCGAAACTGCCGAGATCAGAGCGCCAAAGTGCTTATGGGCAGAGCATGAGTTATCCGCTTCTTTTTTTGTTTCTTCTTGATTTTGAAGGATACATTGTTTCACAGCCGCTTGAAGTAACTTAACTTCTGATACTTTTAATTAACAGGTGCATAAGCATTAAGAACTTTGCTGGACATGGCCATCCGAATCTAGTAAAGATTGTCGGCATTGTTAGTGGAATGACGGCAGTTACAAAATATACGTAAGTAAGGAAGAGAAGTTTCCTGGTGAAACTATCACAGGGGCTTATTATGAAATTAAATCATAATGTTAGAAACGTTTTTAACAAGGAACAGGAGAAGAAGACTTGGCTCCGTATATCTCCAAGTCTGCCACACAGGAGCGTTGCGAGGCGACATGAGGAACGGCTGTACAGCAGACTCGATATATCTCCAAGAATTCTTAAGCTTAAGATAATTGAATTCCAAACGTTATAAAAGCGATGGTGATCAGAAACGTTATTTTCTACTTATTTTTGTTTTCCTGCTATTATGATATACTAGTCAAAGTGCGAGGTTCTATTGTCCCCAGTCCACCTGTTTGGGTTCAGAGAAACACTGTTATATTCGAGTACATTTAGCTGGGAAAACCGAGGACGTGACCGTCAGGTAGGCTTAAACACTGTCATGTTTCCGTTCATTCCTCTATCATTGTTAATATTAATTATTTTGTTATGCATAGTTCTTAGCCTCCTCACACATCAAGAAATTTCGAAAATAAGAAAAGAAGTGATCAAACAAGATTCCTGAATAAATGTACTTACAGTCCTTCCAGGGAATCAGAAGAATTAACCAATGCAGACCACATTTTAGTGGAAACATGCTGAGTGTTCATTAAATGATATGACAATAAGCCACTTCCGAGTTCCAAAAACCTTCACTTTCAAAATGAGGCTAGGTGCACAACCTTTCTTGTGAAAATGAGTTTTATTTGCATGAGAATGAAAAATTATTTCCATATCAAAGGCTGAGCACTTAACATGGTTTTGATACAAAGGCCCGGGAGAACTCGGAAATGGCCTATTACTCTAGATGCCAAACGGCAAACCGTTGAAAGCGCTGATGTGTATTTTTGGTAAAAAACAAAAGAAAGAAAGCTGACATATACCGACTTAACTAAAATTTGTTCTTTTTATTTTAGAAAGGACTTTGAGTGTCGTTACTGTGGGTGTCCCCTTAATGAAGACGTCACTTGCCGTATCTTGGCAGGTAATAAGCCAAATGCTGTGTAGAGAATACTACTTATAGGTAGCATAACAAACGAAACATCAAAAATTACAACAAGAAAACTGTGACAATACAATTTAGCTGTGATTTTTTTTTCAGATAAACGTATCATACAGGTATTATGTCCCTTGGCGCTTGACAAGAGGCTGTGGATGAACAGCCAGGGTCGCATTTACCAAACCATTCCTCTGTATGTTAGAGGTAAGGAAACAGAGTTCCCAATGAAATTAAAGTTTCTCCAACATAAATTAGTTATAACGTATAGTTCTAATGACACTGTTAGTATTATGACGTCCGCACGATCATCTTCATTTTACGGCAAAGTGTTACGTGTGCGACGTCCTTGCACCATCGTCGTCATTGTATTCAAATTGCCACGCATTATCATTGTTATTTGCGGCAATCGACGCAAGAAATGTAGAAAATACACCGGCTTGGAATTCGGAACCAGCAAATCAGGCTTGATTGTGACTCTTTTCTGTTAGTAGTTTATGCGGCACATTAAAAATTGCGTCGTCTTGACGTCGATGAGTCTTGTTGGACTTACTTATGACTTATCTACTCCGCTACTTAAATGGTCATGGTTAGCTTGCGTAACAAGCGCTTTCAATTGAATTATTGCGCGAAATTTGGAAATAGCAACAAAAATATTAAGAAAGGGGGAGTGGGAGGGGAGAAGACCTTCATTTTCTCCCCTCCCCTCCCCCCTTATCCCTATTTTTTGCTCTCGTCCTAACTTTCTAAACGAACTCGCACAGAAACGTTTGCTATGCAGGTCATGGTCAGACTTAAGTAGTCTGACTTCACCAAGTTCCCGGATAACACCGTACTTGCCAGCTAGACTGGCGTGGGCTAACTTGAACTGACGTGTAGGTCATTATTAGATTATTATTCATAGCTAGTTAAAATATATAAGGTTAATGATAAAATTCATAAGTGAAACAAAAAACATAATAAATCTGATATTTCTGCGATTGGGCTGGACGTGTTTTTTCTTTATTCTTTAAAATAAAGTGTGTCACTGAAGAGTGGACATGGGCTTGAGCTTCAAGTGAAAAGAGACGATGGTCTACAGGATGTCCACATTGCTAGGGCATCCACATATGTTGTAAAGAACATTAAATATACTTCTTACGACTAAGCAGCTTTTGTGTTTCATTTTTTCCCTTTTAACAGATGAGCTTATCAAAGACGTCCAAATTGGTTGTCACTACTCATTTGTTGTTTTGCAGTCTTGTGAAATTCATGAATGTTCTGGGCAGTTTTTATGCACTCCTGTATTTGAGGTGAATTGCTTACAACTATGTCTAGGGGTTTTTGCTCGGTTTATTCTTTCCTTGTTTGAAAAATGAGCACGTGTTAACTCACAAGTTCGATGAGAAACTAAGTGTGATTAACCAGTGCTTTAGACTGATTGCTTGCTGTACATTTATTTTGTTTTGCTTATTCGTCCTTGAGGACTGCCATTATCACTTGACTAATAAATGTTTAAATATTTTTGCAGGCAAATAATATAGAAAAGGTAGGTGAAATTATGAATATTAAAGTTTTCTTGTGCTACACATAATTTTAAAGACAGTCTTGGTGCCGTCATTATAAAAGAATCACATCTGTTAATATAGGTTTAGAAAAATCATCAAGCAGCGATCTTTCTTAACCCGCTGTTTTCTCTTTTGGTAACATCTTTTCCTGTTTAAGTGTCCCAGTTACATGTATGAGTCTTTGAATGGTGTCTTCTGTCTATTTTGTTCTTTATAACTACTGAAGCAATATGTGCGAGAGTGCTTTTACTTGAAGCGTGAAACAGATACTAACAAATAGTGCCAAATAGCAAGATGCAAACAGAAGAATACAATGGAATTAGTGCATAATAGTGCGTAGTATTCTACTACCTATTCTCTTCACAGGTCAAGTAAAATCACTCTAATTTCAGAAAATGGTAAGACTGTTACTAATTTCATAGACCATGAAATTAGTAACAGTCTTACCATTTTCTGAAATTAGAGTGATTATCATTTGTTCTGCCTATGATTTTTCTTTTGTGATAGATTCCTTCAAGTCCTCTTTTACCGTCATATAAACTTCCTGAGAGAATAGAGATGCTATACAAAGGTAGGTTGATTTTAACACTGTTTACGGTGGCGTGAATTTGATAAAAAATATAATTCTGTGAGCTAATATGAGTTTGTAAATGGGGTTAACCGACTAGCGTCAAAGGGCGAAAAATATAACTGACTACCGACAAAGCGAGAAAAAAATTACCGACTACCAACAGAGAAAATAATATATTAACCGACTACCGACACGGACCGACATTATTGATATTTGTTTTCACAAAAGAGAGCATTTTGTATTTTTTTCTAGCCGTTAGGAAGTAAACTCTTTAAATTTATGACTCATCAGATGGTCCAAGGGAAAGAATTTCCTCTTTTGTTGACACAGGTACATTGCTACAACCAATATCAAAATCACAGAAGTCACACCTTAAAGCTACTACCGACTCTATAAGTTTAAATTTTATTGAAAAGACAAAGGTGTAAAAACCGAACGTTCTTGTTTCGGTCCAAGAAATGCTTAGACTAATCCTCAAAGAAAATTGTTTCCAGTTTAATGGAAAGCACTATCGGTACAAACCCATGGTACCTCGATGAGCACAAAGACACCTTCAGTGTTCTTTCCCAACAAACTCCTCTGAAGCAACGTTTTTAAGTATTTTAGATTTCAAAAAGCGCTTGATAGACAGAGGTTAGCCATACAAAATTGCTATCAGCGGTAAAACCCACACTGAAAAGAACGTCTGCGGAAGGATGAGTTCAAAATGACCCGAGTCAGAAAACAAAACAAAACAAGGGAAAGGGAAAGTCAAGGGAAATTGTTTTTGAAAAAAGTCAAAAAAAAAAAAAAAATTAAACGAGTTTATAGGAACACTCTGTCTTTTAATTGGTGCAAAAGGTATGTAGTGACTAAAAGGTCTTATTGAACTTGGAAGAAATCATTCAGTAGTCAGTGGGCGAAAAAAATCAGGGACTCTTATTATTGCCATTCTTGGGGAGGAGAAGTGGAGATTTGATCAAAATTTCCCCTTTCAGATGCGGACCTCATGCCGAGAAAAAAACACCTGCCGGGAGGAGTCGTCATTAAACTTTCAATGACTTTCCCCAAATCCACTCCCACCCGAACTGTTTGATAAAGACAAAAACACAGTTAATGTAAAATTAATTATACGTCAACTGAACAAACGAGAATGCTTCTCGTTTTGGCATAAATGTCAAAAAAGTTTACCATCAATACGGACGTAATACTAACAATCAATACAAAAAACAAAGTTTACTTTCCCTTCATTTTCCATTATATTATAGGGTCTTTAGTATCACATGTATTGTTCCATACATGTATAGATGTATGGTCTTATACAATTCTTTTGAGCCACTACCGGAAAGAATTTTTGAGTATAAAACTAATTACACAAGTCAATGATTATACAGCTATATATTATACAACATCTATTTTGCGTATTTCTTTTAGTTAGTAGCGTTAATATGTTTTGCATTAAAAAGAACTACCTATCTTTGAAGAAACCGTTTTTTTCATGACTGTTTTGGATGCGTAATTAGTATGTTAGTAGTGTTTTTTCATGAAAAAGGACAAAACGAAACAATATGGGATTTAAGAACAAGATTACACAATATAAAAAAAAAACAAAAATATTTTTAATATTAATTTACATGTTATGTGAAAATCCTGAAGTTCGGCTTACTCTTGACAAATCATTTTTCTCCCTCTGTATTTATTTTTGAACGAAAAATAGAACATCCTTTATTGTCTTCATGTGGGTTGTTAATTTCTTTTTACGAAAATCTCTGAATCGGTAAAGTCAGATTGAGTCCAGCTGCCTGTTGTTGTTCTTTGTCAGTGTATGTCAGTCTGAATGATCAAATGAGCCATACTGGCTAGACAACAATGGAGTTCTTTCGTTGGGTGATTTTCTTCTATGTTGCCTTCGTTTATTTCTTGCACTCGCATCACCATCACTGTTACCGTGTTTAGTTTTAATTGTAATTTCCCCTCCTCCATTTCCAATATTGGACTTTCGTTGTTGTGTACATGTACTGGAGAGATATTCTTTTACAACAGATGCAACCCTCTTGTCGAAATCATCTTCGTTTGCTTTTTTCACCTCTGGGTTTTCACCGAATAACATCTCACTAATCTTGGGAAGAAGCATTGTGAAGAGAGTTCCTAGGGCTTTTGTTTCGTCATCAACTCTCGATTCTTCTGTTATGACAACGGTGACAAAGAAGATGAAGATTAGGATGACAAAAAAAGCAATCGCGAGTTCACTTCTGCTTTCTTGAATAGGCATGAGTTTTGAGCATGCATCATCATAGAGATCCTTTGGAATCATTCTGAGGCAGTCTTGCGTATAACAAACCGGTTTGTTTTTAGAACTTGCAAGCTTTCCTCTGCAACCTTGTTTTTCCTTTTCTGTAGTGTAATGATCGTACAGTTTAAATGCAAGAACATGGTACTTTCTGGGGTACGGAGCGTAAACCTTCCATAGGTAATAAATAGTAACGAGCCCCAAACTGGCAAAAGGAAGGTAGTTTGGCAAATGCATCAAACATCCTCTGATAATTGTCACCAAATAGCTTGCAATAGCGAGAGCAAAATATAAGTACCCAAGCATGATAAAGGTCATTTCTAATTCTCCAAAGTCACTTTGGATCGTAACCACAGAAACGCAGGTCAAAAAAGGAGAGGAATAAAGAAAAAGCAATGTAACGTATAGAAGGTAGATCGGAAACCATAGTGGGAGTAGCAAAAGGACCAATAGCCACTTGACAAATGAACGTGGACAAAGGTGTGCAGCCAATGTGACGACCTGAGTGAGGCATCTCTTAACAATAAATGGTTGTATGAGCAGATGCATCTTCATTTCTTTTAGGCCGTAATATTCAGGGTGCTTCTTATCATGAAAAATGTCTTCTTTTCCTCCATAGACACGACATATGACGCAGGATTTTTTTTTAAAAATAGAAACAGAAAGAATCCTCGCAAAAAGCAATATAAAAATCAAAATTACCGAAACCGATACCACCACAGCGCGTAAACTTCCGGTATCGATCTCATTCAGCAAACTGGGAAGCGGAAGATACACGTCTATGACAATTCCTTCAAATATCAAAAACCCAACAGAGGATAAGAAAAATAAGAAAACAAATAGAAATCTCTTCCATTTCTTCCAGTCATGAAATGAACTTAGTTTATTAGGTATCCAACTGCTAATGCTTTCTGGGCTGCTTCCACGAAGAATAAGTATGTCGCGTCTGGTTTCTTTATCTTTAAATTCTGTGGGAGTGAACAAATATAAACAAAGGACGAAAACGGAGTACCATATCGATAGAATAAAAATAACTACAATTATAATTCTGAAAACCTGTTTCCGCCACGTAACGGGGCTAACGTTATGAGCTATATCTGTCACTGTGGTTTGATTTACGCAAACGTAGGAGCCATTCTTAACTGAGAGCTTGTAACAAAAGGCTGTTTGAGAATGCGGAAACTCTACACATTTCGCAACTTCTTTCATCAACACCATCGCAATCGCATCATTCACAGAAGGCTTTGTATCATTTGAGTCAGGTGCTGGTTTAAGGCAGCACGAAACACCCACCTCCACTTGTCCCTCCAGCGATTTTCGAAACCAGCTGTTACTCTCGCTAACGTTGAAGGAATACTGTGTTACGTTTTGCCCGCCGTGACTTGGAATTTCGCCAGTGAGCCACGTCCAAATTTCTGCGGGTTTGATGGTGGAGTTCTGTAGATTTCTTTGGTTTAAGCACTTTTTGTCCTCTTGATGCTCGTAATTCAGCTGTACTGTAATAAGCCTGAATTCAGAAATAAGCGTCTTCATTTCTAATCCAAACTTTGAATCGACAACCTTGCAATCCCACACGCAGCTCTTCTCTGCATGTCTCGCTACGTTTGCTTTTGATCGTAACGAAACGCTCGTTTCGGCGGCTACGATAAGAAGAACTACTGCAACTAAGCAGGCAGTAAGACGTATGAAAAAAGTAAATGCCATACTTCTGGTACATTTGGTTCGTAAGATATTTATAGCGAAATGCCAACTGACTGTACTTCACGTGGCTTCATACGCAGTGGTCAGTGTTTTATAGGATCTCATGAATAATCAGGGGCACCCAGCGACAATTTTCGGGAAAATATCTGTTCGGAAGACGATTTGAGATCTAGAATTTTCGGAGCATTTTCTGTAAAATTTCTTGCTTGCCTGCTTCTCCTAGGATTTTCGAACATCTACAAAATGGTATAATTACCCATTTTTAACGGATTTTGACCCTAAAAAAGGCCACCTAGAATTTTCGGGAGCCTTTTCGTGGCTGAAATTTTCGAGAAGGTAAGTTTTTATCCCTATAAATTTCGGATCACTAGACTTTCAGCTAGGAAATCCGAACAGATGAAAAGTTTTTGGGAGATGAAAATATGCGGTTTTGAACTATATCCTCGTTGGGTGCCCCTGAATAATATTAATAACTCCGGCAGTAGGCATTCAATGATTTACATATGCGGTCCGAGCTGTTTAATCTACCATGTCAGTGGCACATTAAGCAAGAGATTCACATTGTTGTGTAGAGTCTATGTTTATGCTTCTCCCTGAGACCTTGGCTGTTGACGGGCTCATACTGTGTAGATCGAACAAAACTGAACTTCTGACGTAAAAGCTTTTTTTTTTCTCAGAAAATCCTAGCAAAAGGAACTTTAACGCTCAATGTCAGTTACTCGCAAGCGCTGTGAAAGCTGTCAAAGGTACTGACTTCCTAGCTAATGACGAACAAAGTCACCTAATTTACACTCCAAGCGCGGCGTCTGTTATGGTCTTTTGTAGACCAACTCATACCTAACCAAAGTATTACACAAAAACTGGAAAATGCAGCCTGCAACAAGAGTGCCAAAGAATGGGTTTGACGCTACGTTTTCTCTTCAATCTGAACTAAGATATAGACTTATCCGCCGAAATGAATCAGCCTAGCATATCCGTTTCACCAAAAGAAACTGCTATTTTTAGGTTTGACTGAATGGGTTCAGACATAACCGTTTGACAATGATCATGCGAGTTCTTGTTATACCTGTTTGGCTTAAAAGGGACAGAATCACCAAGGTCATGTTAAGTCTAATATAAAGCAACGAGATAGTACAGTCATGTGCAAACTGCATATTTTCCTTTAAAAAAAGGAGAACTATTTTCTTTCAATAACCAAGTTTCACGTCAAAATATGCCGGTTTGATACACTTGATAAGACCTGTTATTAATTGGCTGTAGTTCATTGTGACTTAGAGCTTTTGTATGCTATGAGATTTTTTAAGATACTCAGATCGCATCGCCTATCCCATCATGACGAGGGAAGACTCTGTAAAATTAATACTGATTGTGCAATCTCGAGTCTCAACATCTTGGTGATGACATAAGAACATCTACATCTACTTTATTACTCTTCAACGTTTTACATGCACATCAAGAATAGTTGAGAAATAAAAATTAAAATATAGATAAAAAATTAAAATAAAATATATAATTAAGAAATTGCTATACTAAAACTTGGAATAATTTTGCTCTGCAAAATGCTGAATAATTAAATGCTCTGGTTTCAGAAACAAGTACTAGTCACAACTAGTAGTCAACTTCAGTCCACCCACTGTCCAAGCTTAGGCCATCAACAATATGATAGTGGTTGGTGACTTGTCTGCCTAAACTAACATTTTCATCTTTCATGATATGTCGTTTTATAGGTTTATAAGTTTCTATGCTTTTTTTAATTTCAATTATCATTTAGACAGGCAGGGTTCACCTTGGAGTTTTGTTGCAAGCCTCACCTACTGTTTTGCAGGTACGTCCAATTCAGAGTGTTTTGTGTTCTTGATTGCTCAAAAAACACTAAAATCATATTATAGAGTGAACGTTATCGGGATGGGTAGGGCAAAGCCGTAATACTATTATACCCCACCCTTATTCCCTCCCCACTCCCTTAATATTCACCAAAATGGTAATTTTTATTAGGCGCACTTTCCCGCCACTCATTTAGTTGAACCTCACGGCTGCATTGTATCAATATAGCCGACATAGTATTTTAGGAGTGCTTTTGTATACATCGTCTCCCAGCTCTTTCAGGTCTCATAAAATTTGTCCAAACTGTAACGTAAACGAGCCCTTCTCTAACTGACCTGGGGAACCTGTTTGTCCTCAAAGACTCAAAAAGTCTACCAGAGCGAAATAAATCTTCAATCGTTTTTCCACTTCTTAAGCTACACGTTTTTAAAATCTAAACCTATTTGAGTATATGAACCACTGTCCGGTTTTACGTGGATGGAACAACTGGTGGTATCATGCAAGATCATAATGGGGTATTTAACAGGCTTATATCTTCTGCTGCAGGCTTTGTAACACCTCCCGGTACATTCTTTCATTTGAAAATGTTGATGTTGATGTGCATTTTGCTGCTTCACTGTTCTGATAAGTCTGAAGAATCTAAACAAGTCTATCGCGAAAACCTTCACTTGCTTGTTATTGCTGATGACCTTCTGAGACTTCAACGGCTCTTGTTATATGGAGCGTCATTTGCTAAGAGAATGATTGTTCACTCTCCAATCAGCGAATTATTTGCTTCATGTTCTCGGGATCCTTTTGGCTCTGGAGCGTGTATGGTAAATGGTAAGGAGGTCTATTACAAAACGCGATCCCAACTTCCTTCTTCGAAATCAAGCAAAGAAAAAAGAGATTTAAAAAAAAAAACAGACATTAGTCGTTTACAACGGATTACATTCTTCCGGCTGCTCTAGCAATATTGGTGACCGTATCGTAAAATGCAGCTCTCTTCGTAAGGGGTTTAGGAGGGTTTGTAAACGGAAGGGCTTATATCCGAGGGGGCTTATAAGCGGAATAGAAAAAGCGTATTGAAACAGTGAAGTTATAGCAGGGTTTTTTAATATACCTTTTGCAGTTACTAGTTTTAATTAAGCTTCAAAACCCCATAATAAATCGAATTGTCTTTTGAGATGGGGTGGGGGGGAGGGAGCTTCTGATGATTGGAGCTAGAGGGGATTATAATAAGATGTATTGTTTTGTTTACAGACCGGATAGATAGGCTTATAACTATGAAGGGCTAGTGGCGGAGGGGAGGGACTTATAATATACATTCTCAGAAGGTTTTAGAGAGCATATAGTTATTTACTTCGGGCCAAACCAAGCAGATTTTTACTTCTGTTACAGCTGGATACCTTTCGTTAGCTGCAAGTGGAATATGTGTCATCCCTAATGTTGCTGTCCTAAAAAAGGAACGAAAAGACAGCCTTCAAAATGGTAATTATAGCACTGAAACATTCGACATTCTTGACTGATATCAACAGGACTGGGAAATTTTTGTTGAGAACACGAAACAGGCGTTCATGAAACTTGGGTTCATCTGAGCTACGTTCTCGCTACCATTACCAAACTGAAAATGAAAGAAGTTTGTCTAGAATATATCTGCTTGAGATTTTAAGAAAGAGTATACACACTACCCTGAAGGTGACTTTATTAGAGGAAAATGTTTGTTTGATTTTTTAGTTTCTTAAAACCCTTTCAGCTTTTTAAAATGGCAAATGAAAATATAGCTCTCATCCCATATTTTTTCGTCTTCAAATAACCTCGCCTATTGATTGCAGTTGTATTATTTCTCGTTATTTTTTTTTTACGATTCTTTCCTGGCCATAGACTTTAAGCCCTAGAAAACGTGGGTTGACTGAATGTAATTTTAATGTTGAATATGATTATTTTAAAGCTTTAGAAAATGCGTCCATTACAGTCAAGGTGCCAGAGAGGTATTGGGCACAGCAAGGCCAACAGCTCTCTTTACCATTGTCATGTAGTCTATGGGCTTGCTCTGAACCAACAGAGAGAAACCCTCAAAAAAGAATGCTTGATCCTGTGTTTGAGCTTCCCAACAATATGAAGGTATGTTTTACTCTATAAGTATCCGGCTTGCAGTTCTTTCCTCTAGCAGGGCCCACCATAAATAAGGGTGTCCTTTGTAATACACTTACATTTCGGTAATCGCACGCACTTTCTCGGTAATGCAGGTTTCACAGCAAAACAGTTTATCCATACAATTATGTATGGATAGTGAAATGCTTCACCCAGTTTTGTACGTAAACTCGGTCACTGTAGAGGGCTGTATCAATGTACCGATAGGTCTTCCCTGTGACTAATGTGCTATTTGCCATTGGACTGTTACTAAAGCAGGACTTCCATCAAAAATGGCATTTTTCGTTTTCGTTCCAGGACTGTCCAACATTACCACGAGCCCTGATCGAGTAAGTAGTGGTTTGTTCGTTTGGTGGTTTGTAGGATAAAATTACCAGGAATCCAAAACAAATTAAAAATCTTAGTTCCTCATCCAAATATGCAAATAGTTTACTATCTCCGTCTTAGCTGTGTTGTTGGAACTGAGTGATGATATCACAGATGCGATTAATACCACTTTTTCAAACATTTCTACTCCATTGAATACGAACTGGTCATAACTGCCATAAGCCCTGTTGTTATTCATTCAAACTATTTCTCCGTTTCTGATTGGCTAAAATCCCACCCATAATTCATCAAAACCAGCTCCTGTTGACCAAATTTGGCAGAATTTTGCGATATGTGGAAACTGACGTCAATTGGGCAGCGATTGATACTCGCGATTTTGTATCACTTGCTGTTAGGTGACCAAATACACGTTAAACATGTGACAACTTTGAAGACAGTAAAATTTTTCCTTTCGAGACTTTCTTCGTCCTCCTTTCCGTACATATTGGAAGTTAATTAAGAAAATGTCAATTTTGTATGTAAGGTATAGAATTCCCTAAGCGTTTCAAATCTTAATCACCAAATTGCAACCTGTTCTCCTTTCAATAAATTTCGACAGCCAGTTTTCCGTTGTATTCAACTTGAGTGGTGTTCACGACCATACAGACAACTCTGAGGAGTGTGTAAGTGAAGAGGTCTTGAAGAAAGCGACGGAGTGCATGGAAGAGAAAACTATGTTTTATCTTAGTGACGACGAATTCAGCCAGGTATGGGGAACATATATGGCCGCGGGAGCTATACAATAAGCGGTATTCATTCTTTCACGATATACCGGCAGTTTTCTAGACGGATGTTACTAAGGAACGAGGAGCGGGGAAAGCACGGGGTAGGAACAGAAAATTGAAAAATAGGGAGCAAAGCAGAGAATTGGAAATTATTGACGAAGTTACTGATATGGCTAGCATTCAAGTCAGGTTTTGTTCCTAGTTTTCATTTTCCAGTTTTCGTGCTCATTCCCCGTTCCCCACTCCCCGTTTCCCGTTCATCATTTTAGCAACATCCGTTTTCTGGACTTTGCAAATAGCACCACTGCATTGCGAAACCTTAACTTGAATCAGCATCGTTAACTGAGCCAACTCACTGTTTTAGTTGTCCATAACTTATTTCTGTAGTTTCTGCACTACGCTGCTAATCAAAATGTTGAGCTGACCGTGGCCGCACAAGATCTTATTCAAGGTTATTACATGGCGAGCAGACGAACAAGAAACTCTCATACAATTGGAGGACCTGATTTTCCTGTTACTACACTACAAACACTGTAAGTGTGTTTGTCTTATATGTGTGTGAATTAATTAAGTAAATAACCTTTTCCTCTTGGCAAACTGATTTTATGCTTTTCGTTAAGATATTTCTACAATTCATAAGTTATAAATTTATACATTTAAGTTCGATTAGAGCTAGGGACATTTTTTTCTGTCTCATATGTGATAAAAAGTTGTTGGTATTATTATATACTGCGCTGGTCAAAAGAATAATGTTTCCTTTATTGAATATTTTGCTTTCTTTATGCATCGTGATATAACAAAAAATAAAATTAGGTCAAGGATAAAATTTAAAAACGACATGTAAAAATAACTGGCTTCATTCAACTCATTTTATTGTTTCACACAAGTCCGTTCTTTCTGTCGTCAATTCATCATACCACTGATTACTACATTCACCTTTCCCAGAAGTTTTATTTGTTTAGTCTTTTTAGTGACCTATGCCCTAAATCCTATAGTACTATAAACCCAGACGTTACAATATAGAAAACAAATGGCGAAAAACAGTTTCATTGGCTACACGCGGTTATCGATCTTTATTTACTTCCTAGAACAAGTTTGGCTACAGCTCATGCAAAGTTAGCCCTCCATTCAGAGGTACGTGTCACAATTCCTGTTTTATCAGTCCGTTAAATTTAATTCTTCTTACCTTTTATATCGTCCAAAATAATGGAAATTCTAGAAGTGCGCGTTCGGGTGTTTATAACAATGACAGAACTCGATAGACCATTTATAATAGACATTTTAATGTGTTTTAATATTTATCAGAGTTTAATGTTTTAAAGCCTCACCACAGATGTGATCATGGCCAAATGATTGGCTGGGTAATACTTGCGCTGGGGGTCAATAAAGCCCTTGCAGTTTATATTTTATCACCCGCGCTCGACGGGCTTTGAAGGGAAAATAGAGGTTCTGTGAACAGGCTACCTTGAGTCATAACATTTTGTCGGTTTCATATAGACTACGAGTAGTCCCCCATTTTTCCTCAGGGATAGTAGAGCGAGCAAAACGCGAGCGCGCGTGAAAATCAACCCACGCGAGAAACGTGGGTTGATTTTCACGCGCGCTCGCGTTTCGCTCGCTCTACTATTCCTGAGGAAAAATTGGGGACTACTCGTAGTCTAGTTTCATAAGCTGATAGTGGTTTTCAAAAATGATTTGCATTAGAGTCAGTATTTGGTTCAGTCATCAATATTTTATTGTAAAAGATACTTCAACAATCTGAACATTGGCAAACTGAATTTGCCTTAAATCACTGCTGTTTTAAAGCTAAATATTTTGAAAACTGGGAAGTAACCTTTCAAAACAGCTGCATATTTTCAGGAGTCAAATCATTTTCTCAAATTTCGTCCGGTGAGCTTCTACAGGCATTTGAACCAATTCCCACTAGGCACCCCTCTGATGAGAAACGTCTCAATGCCTATAACTTCCTTTTTGAAACCCCAGATCGATATGTCGGCCTCAAATTAAAATTGCTCATAAAGGAAATTTAGGAGAGAATTCCAAAAAGAGACATTACACTAGAGACACTCTCAGAAACAACGTTTAAATCCACCTCTGTTACAAGTTTGATGCGTCAATTTGCATTTTGTGCTTCTACATTTATTTTTAAGGTTTGCAGCTGTTTTGTAATCTGCGAGGGATAAATTGTAATTCCGCCTGCTGTAACAAAAAATTGTTTACGGAGGCGAACACTATAGGACAACTAGTTGAATAGTCGCAAGCGTCCACTTACAAAAGTTCAAGGAGCGGTTATTTTAAATTGATTACCAAATACAACTGATTCATGGTTGATTTCGCTTTCCGTTATTATGTTGCTCACTATAAAGTTGAAGCAATCTTTTAAAAGAAGAAAACAAAATCATTTGATTTTCCCTCTCGCTTGCTACACGTAATTCATGTAGTTTTTGATTGGCTTATTTAGCAATCTGCTTTGCTGGTATTGGCTGAAAATATTTTGGTTTTGGTTGACGATACTCCTGCCTTTATGTCTATGACCTCAAAAGCGATCGACTTTCCTATTAAGAGAGCAAACTTATTACACTTATATGTTATCTGACTCTATTTCTCTCTGTTCACGGCTTCTAGAAATATCGAGTACCCAGAATTATAACAAAAAAGAACTTATAACGCAAAAAAGTAACGACGCGTGAGAAAAAACCGTCTGTTGGGACACAGGATTGCTACACGAAACAAAGTAATTCATTACCATCCTTAACTTCTACCATTGTATTCCAGTAAACAGTTAAATTCTATTTTGAATCGGATTTTAATTTTAGCAACACTTGTCAGTAAATAGTTTAACTCTTGAATATTTAAGATACAGAAACAAGAGCGTCCATCGAAGTTTGCGTTCGTATTTTAGGAACTGCAAAACTGAAGATTTTGTAACTATGTCAGTTTATTTTCTTTACCAGATAGAAATTTCAATTTAAAACGTTTATGATACGTTATTTGTAGTTGTTTTTTATTACTGTTCACTTTTCATGTTATTAACAAGGAATTAAATTTCTTTACTTCGGCATTATAAAATGATCGTCGGACATTGTTCGAAAACACGTAATATAAAATTTCCATTGTTAAAATGAACATTTTACATTACAGTCACCTGTTTTTGTGCCAATTATAGTGGGAGTTTCGCACGACCTAATGTTTATATCTCAAAACAAATTCCTTGCAGTTAAACAACATCTTGTCAGGTCGCATTCACCGATCCACTGAGCATCGTTAGAAGGCCTCATGAAGGAAATAACTATTCGTAAAGCAGTTGCAGCCGATTTGGAGGCCATATTAGAAATATCGGAAGGTATTTACAACGGACACGATTACTTTCCCTGTGTTTTCCTCCAGTGGCTCACAAAACCGAACCGCACAATTTTTGTGGCTCAGTATGGGGACCAGCTCATTGGGCTGAGGGCGATACATATTGTAGATGAGGGGAAAACGTTCATCAGCCAAGGTTTGCGGATCCATCCCAGATTTCGAGGCTTGGGATTAAGTTCACGATTGATCGAAGCCATTCACGGTTACATTCGAAGCGAATATCCGAATGTCTATCGAGAACGCTTCACCACAAAATCCGACAACATCGAGCGACTTGCCATCCAAAAGAAGTATGGCGACATTGGCTTATTCGAGAGAGACATTTTGGCCTACTACATCACTAAAGAAACACTGAAGCAAAAGACCCTAGAAGAAGAATCCCAGAATCTTGGCGTTCAGGTCAAACCCTGCACGGAAAGCTTTCTTTACATTACATTTTAGACGACTCAGTGGCAAACATGTTTCCTGGCCGTACTATCATCGTCGACTGGGAACCGTTCGAAGCTCTCCGATCTAACATCGGTTGCATTCTTGAACAAGATGATTGTGTATTCTCTGACCGAGATGCGGCCGACTGTTCTCGTGGTCAGTTACCGAAGTCATTCGCCCACGGTCGGCGGTCTCCCCGAGTAAAGCACATGCATTGGGTGGCTTCCATTTATACAGAAGACCCAGTGATGTTCCAAGTGCACGTGGTTCAGCAACTGAAATGTGCGTATCAGCAACTGCAAGGAGATTTTATCTTCTCTACATTTCACAAGGAAAGCCACACCAAGTGGGGCAAGAAGCTTCTAGAAGAAAACATTGGGTTAAAACCAGTGGAGTTCTTCCGTGATTTTGGATTGATGATGTTTGAACGGAAATTTGTCTAATAACTCGTTATGATTTCGGTGCAATTACAGAAAAAAAAAGGCTTACAACTAACCTCGTCGTGTTTTACCTCTTGTTTAGCCTCCCACACAGACTTTCTTAGGGCTTCGCCAGGCGTTCCTGACCCACGTGGGCCAGGAACACCTCGCGAAGCCCTAAGAACGTCTGCTTGGGAGGCTACCTGATGTTACGTTGTACATTTTTAAAATTTCAGTCGTAGTAAAGTAGATAATTAGGCCTGCTCATTAAAATTACAATTAAACAATCATACCAGCTCTCTCTTTAAGCCTTCTTCTTTATTGTAGCTTCATTTTTAAGTATACTGTGACAATCAGTGCAAAGAAAGGCAACCTTTGGCTAGGAGTCGTCAAATGTGGCTATAAGAAAAAAAGGCGGCGAAACTGAAGCGCTGGAAAACAGTCTATGGGAACAAAAGTTCTAATTCCCAGTTTAACTCGGTTCTATGTATTGAGTGTGTGTTGATTCCTTTCGGGTGAATCCAGGAACGAATTCATTTTTCGATCTTTAAGCGGTTTTCGCGTTTCTTCGGAAAATCCAAATCTGGATTTTGATCTTGAGATTCCCTTTTGAATAAGATTTGCTGATTTGAAATCCATGAATATAAACAGCAAATGACTATCGTTTCTGAAGAGGAAACTCTTGAAAAAACAATCTACTTTCTCATGTTAGGAAGACTCCCAATTATCTCAAGAATTTCGTTGGAACGCCTTAGGCTTAACAAATCAAAACCAAGCTGGGCAATTACAAGTGTCGTTGTAATGTTTGCTCTAATTAGGCAAAACTTGTAGTAGAACTTCACTTGACTCCAGTGATAATTAAGAAATGGTATGCCCAGTTAAATTAGAAACTTACAAATCCTGTATAAATCATCAACAATTATTCCTCGAGCCCGAATGGGCTCTGAGTCAATAGCCCATGAGGTCGAAGGCGGAATGGGCTATTGACTCAGAGGCCAGGAGGGCGAGAGGAATAATTGTTTTAGTAATATCCAACTAGTTGGTCAAAAATATCGAGAATAAAAAACTCATAATTAGTTAAAGCTAGACTTTAATCCTTTTTTGACGCCAAAAAGCCCGCGCTTTTCGCTACTAGTGGGCCATAACATATAGCCTAGAAATAGTAATCAGTACGCAGCATTGATAATTGACCACTAGTTGGATTCTACTAATCAATATCAACCGTGACTGCCAACTAAAAGGGGTGCGTTTTGTTTAAAGTGAATTGATATTCATTGGTGGCCAGTTTCCGCTTCAGTGAGGCAGTAAGACTTCCCTAGCAACTGGAAAAAAGAAAATCTATAACTGGCTACAGTTAAAACCAAGCGTCTGAAAGGTATTCAGAGTTATGTTTTTCATCTGCAAACTACCCAACTGACAGTTAAGGCAATATTCGAGCGATTGAGAAAGTTGTAATGTTTTAAAGCGAGAAGTGTAGTATTGTACGGCCCGTTTTGGCCGGTGCGACCGTAAATGGATTAATAAAAGTTAATATTTTATAATTAGAGCACGATTAAACATGCCATCGAAGCTCTTTATAACCGGCTCAAAATGTCTGCCAGAAGTCTGTCTCTTCAAATTTAAAATTATATTTAGTTTCAAAGAGATTTCTTTCCATAGCCTTTCCTTAGGCCAATTTTCCAAAAAAAAGACTCACTTATAACTTTCTTTCTCAGTTTATTTGAATACATAATTAATTTAAGTTACCCAACATTCGACAACATTTCTTTTCCTCATGAGAAAGTGCTAATCGTGCCTAGTTACGATGCAAACAAGCAGATTCAGTAAATACAGGTTAGTGCGAAGATGAGGGCAGCCGGGCTGAAAAATTCAACTAAAATCTCATGGCAAAAGCCGACCTTTTAAGATTTTGTCGAAAGTTGAGTTCACCTGGATGAGTCGCAATCTACAAGCGTCAGCACCGAAGTAAAGGCACAGATTCCATTGTCGTGTTTCAAAAACAATTCGTAAAAGGGATTTTTAGATTGAGACTTTAATAGACGATCGTGACATTTCTTTACTGGATGAACTTGCTACTGTTACAGATAACAAATTAATCAATGTTTTGTCGTAAAACATGGCTGCGATTTTGTCAAACACCGACTGGGCTCTGCCTTAATAACCGATCTAAGATGTCTTCGCCACAAGTTGCATTGGTCGCTTCAGGTTTTTAAAAACTTTTACTTTGCCACTTCAATGAGAGAGTAAAACTTCCTTAGCAACTTCACAGGCAATGTTTATGACCCTGAAACGGCTCAGCTAACCACCGAAAATTATTTTCCATTTATTGATGTAAGAATTAAAAATTTAATCCCTAACATTCTACAACTTTTGTTTTACCCCTTATTGTGCCGTGTTGTTAACGATACAACCAAACAACCGCGTATCACCGCGCGCAACTATTAAATTCCATTAAAAATAAATCCATGGAGGCTCTACTTCTACGAGAAGCACCGTGAAACCGATGGTGAAAGCAGGCACCTTCTTGTACTCTGACTGCATCCAAAAGGAGAATATTCAAAGGTTCCAATCCTGAAAATCATTAATTTTAAAAACCCTGGAATCATTGTTTGAATTAATCGTCTTGAACGTAAACGCTGGGTTCTACTTTGAACTGAGTTGATATTGGTGCTTTCCACTTTGCTGAAATAGTACTTCCCTAGTGACTCAACAGAAAATGTTATTAAAACAAACACTTCAGTTTAAACCAATTAAAGGTATTAAGAAGTTTTTTTTTTCAATAATTTTGAAGACCAAATGGAAACTTAATTGCAACTAGACTAAAGCTTACAGTTTTCGTTTTCATTTCATTTTTTCGTATGTGACTTGTGTAGTGCTGTATATGACTTCTATCACAAAACACTCCTTGACAGAAGTAAGTCAAACATGCAAAAATCCAATGTCTCTTTCTAAAGATGTATTCTCAAGGTTTTTTCGCTTCCAAAGGAAAATGGAAACATTTTTCTAAGAATAGTTAGTGGCATTATCCGTCAATATAACCTTCATTCTTGGGAGTTCGTCATAAAAGCGCAGCTGAATGGCTCCAAAAGCCCCAGGCTATGGAACCTATGACCCATAATTGTACTTAATTGCATACCACTGCAAACCACTGTACGCTTTGCTTTATGCCTTTAACCAATATATCCATAAGAGAATTTAAGCATACTGTTTTCTTACTTCTCATAACGTATTAAAATAATAAAACCAAATGAAAGAAGGAAAAATTCTGGCAGCAGTCAAGTAAAACCTGTAGGTTTAAGGTCTTACCAAGACAAGCGAGTCTAAAGAGATTCATTTTCAACTACAATGATTGACAGAACAGTGACAAATGATTGGTACATTTTAATCCATTGTTTCTTATTGGTCGATCTTATTGGTCGTTCTAATTTTGATTGATGGAAGAGTAACTAGATCTTATTGATCTTATTGGTCGTTCTAATTTTGATTGATGGAAGAGTAAAAAGCAGTGAATACTTAATATCTTTTGATTCAGAGTCTGCTTGTCATTTCGCTACAAAGAAGATACGTGTTCAGTTCAGGTAATTGTGCCAGTTTATCACTGTATGAGGGTTTTGATTAGAACTGGTGACATCAGCTAAGACGAAATTGCATGAAGACTTGAGGGGTCAGTTACTTAAACAAAGTGAGTAGCTTAGATAACAGTAGTAAAAATAAGTGTATTTTAGAAACCTATTTACTGAGCTTAGATCACTAATCGTGATAGGCATGAAGTTGAAAATAATTAAGGTGACTCGACCCAGTTTTTTTAGGGGGTACCATCCTACTTTGAAGCTCTCTGGTATCTCCACCTTTACTTTTATCGTAAGTATTACACATAGAATGGATAACATATAGATCAATCTACAATATAACATAAAATTTTTGGCGATCGGAGTAAATGTCACGTGGTTATAATGCCACGCCCCTTTGAGGTCTGAGTCCAAAATCTGCTGTTGCCAGCATTTTTTCGTGAAAATCTCTCGGCTACACATAGTGCGCATTAGTGCCTTGCGCTGAACAGAGTTTCACCAAAATCGCAAAGACCCAATTCGAGAAATTCAGCGGTTTCCAAACTTAGGTCATAATTTATGCGAAAATGATAAGTAAACTTTACACGGATTATATCTAATAAACTATGAGATTCATCTCTGTATTTTGGGCATCCTTAAAACAGATGGGTCCTTGCAAGTCAGCAAAACGCTTTAGGGCCTTGTAAATGCGCGCGATTTCCAGCAAAGCAAACATATAGAAATTATAGTTTTCGCTATTTGTTGACGTTTGTCGGCGTTTAAGAGTCAATCTCACGAAAAAAGCATTTTCTTAAAAATTCGTAGTTTTTTTTCCTTCAAATTTTTTCAGGGCCACAATTGATTAACTAACTACCCGGACTCTGAATTTCATGGTCATTGAAAAACTGTGACATTATCTTCTATAAGCTCAAACTTGAGTAAACATTGAAGATTTTTAGCGTTTTGGCTGAGTTTGTGCTTTGGGAGTTGTCTATTGTTTCTAGTCTGTCATTATACAGCATTCTTGTTCAGCACGCGTGCAATG